CTTCTGAGACATTCAGAATCAAGCTGAACTGTGAAAAAGTGAGGAACTGTTTCAGAGCAATAGGTTCATTTTCCTGGAGCCATAGATGTGTCAAATTGAATATTAACACTGGAAAAATGTTGTTCACAGCAATCGCTTTGTGTCCACTAGAGGACTGGAGGGAGGACTAGCTGCATGGCATGTCAGACTAACTAGCTCAGACTAGTATCTGCTGATCTGTAGTTGCTTTTGAGATGCAATGACTGAAAAGGTAGTCACCTTTTTTTTAAGTAGAAAAAGTGTTCTCACAGAGTCAGTTAAACAAGGAATGGCAAGATTGTTGTGACATTGTGGCAATTCTTCAATTTGCTAAAATATTCTGGTTGCAATTCTTGATAAAATTCACAATATTCAGTGCATGTGTGATAGTGTGTATCGCTGGGCAGTCACAGAAGTAAATGGTGTAGTTGCAGTGTATGTCAGGACAGCAACAATCCCATTTGAATTTTTGGATGCCTGCTTGTTTTAGGAGCTGCTGAATACATACACATTCCACAAATGTGTTCTCTAATAGTGTGTTTCTGTTCATGCTGGTGTATCGTGAGAAGTAAATGGAACAACATCATGTCCTCAGAAGGATGATCACTACTGGAGAACAGCAGGTATTTGCTAATAGGTTATTTGCTGGTTTCACGATCACATTGAAAAAGAGCCAAATTATCCTGGATTCATAAAGATCACAGATAACATGGAGTCTGTAATACATCTCAGAGCTGATTTCCACTTCAGTTTTAGCTATGAACTTCGCTACACAGTGTTTGAATCACCGTATCTAAACCACTTTGTAAAGGAGCTGCACAGATACAGGCATTGATATGTATGTACGTGTCTGACCACTGAGTCCCTCTGCTTCAATTGGCAGTGATCACACCAAACCCTTTTTGTAAGCTCACCATGCTTCTCCTTACAACTTATCAGGAGTTTACTCCCTACTCCTCTTGTTCAAAAACTTTGTTCAAAACCTTATTTCTCCAGTGATTAGAAAATTTATTCTAATTATCAGCACAGAATTGTTGAAGCATGGTTATGCTTTTTTTATTGTGGCACTATCACTGTTCCCTAGTTTCAGATTTATTTTCTGTTCCTGATCTTTTCAGTCTCTGGCTGATTATATAAAGAACAACTGCATTATCTTTCAGCATTAAATTTTAAAGAATAAGCAACTCGGGTGGTTTAATCCTCTCTTGTCAGGTAGATTTTCCATTTATCGTGTTTTTGTTAAGACCCTTCCCTGCTCCTATTTCTAGTTTGCATTAAGCTTATTAAAGATAATCATACCCAGTATACAAATTAGTATCTTACATAACAGACAATTATATTTATGTAATAAAAATAGTAAGCATATATTGAATATGCTATTTATATATGAAATTTATGCATATATACTTCTACAATTCTATATAAAATACTATTTATAAATATACTTTCTATACCCTATCTATTTATATATACACCATATACATTGTATAGCATGTTGATAATTTATGCATATGGTATATATAAATAAGTATAATGTAATGTGCATACTGTTAATATAGTTGTCATGGTTTAACCCCAGCCAGCAACTAAGCACCACGCAGGTGCTTGCTCAGTCCCTGCCACCTTCACCACCCCAGTGGGAAGGGGAGGAGAATCGAAAACAAGTAAAATTCGTAGGTGAGATAAGAACAGTTTAGTGATTGAGATAAAAGTATAATAATAGTAATGAGAAGGAAGAGAACTAAAAGAGTGAAATAAAACCCAAGAAGTACAAGTCACTCACAGCGCAGTTGCTCACCACCTGCTGACCAGTGCTCAGCCAGCCTCTGAGCAGCAATCCGCCCCTCCCAGCCAACTCCCCCCAGTTTATATACTGGGAATGACATCACACGTTATGGAGTATTCCTTTGGTCAGTCTGGGTCAGTTGTCCTGGCTGTGCCCTTTTCCAGCTTCTTGTGCCCCCTCAAGCCTTCTTGCTGGAAGGGCATGAGAAGTTGAAAAATCCTTGACTTGGTATAAACGCTACTTAGCAACAGCTAAAAACATCACTCTGTTATTGATATTCTCTTACTAAATCCAAAACACAATGCTATACCAGCTACTAGGAAGAAAGTTATCGCAGCCAAAACCTGGACGACAGTATTATGCTAATATATAACTACATTTACATACAATGTTTCTTCATTTCTAATGAAATTAGCTAAGTTGGTATATCTGGCACTTTCACTGCTTTATCATTTTAGTAGAACATAGTAATCATGTAACCAGCTCTTAGCTGGTTTTCTATTAATACGAGGTTGACTTCTTTGTTTGATGTTTTCTGTGGCTGTTTGAAAAATAACAAGTGTTTTTAAAGTAAGTATGACATTTCTGGTTTTTGTTTGCTTGTTTGTTTTAAATAAATGTATTTATTCGATCAGATTTAATTTTCAAACTAATAAAGTATTGCTCTAAACTGAAATCTCAATGCTGGGGGTGGAGGGGGGAATGTGAAATGAGCAGATGTTTATCCAATTCTTTGGGGTTACTCAGTGGGTATGAACAGTCTGCACAATCACTCCCTCCTGAGGCTGATGGAAGTTGGCCAGCCAGCAGCCAACACGACATTTGCTGCTACCTGATAGAAGGCATCCCGCTGAGAGAGGGGGGATGGAACGGTAGAGTTAGCGGCTGCAGGAGAAAGATAGAGGGTGGAAGAAAGCAAGGTAGGCTCAAAGGGTGAACAGTACTGGCTCTTCAGAATCCAGCTGTCCCACACAGTCCTGTACTCATTTTTGTTCCAGCAACTGACACCATAGGGGGTGCTTTTTCTAGGAAATACCATTGTCCCTGCTGAATATTTTTATCAATAGATTGCTGTCTTTCTGCAAAAGGGCAAAGGGCAAATTCGATACACTGAGTCCTCCTGTTTCATGAGACTATGGCAATTTGTAGCAAAGCATTCTCAATTAATAGATTCCCAACTTTGAAGTCTGTGTTTTGTCCTGCACTGTTGCGTTTCTTGAAGGAGAAAGCAGGCTCAGTTATACAAAACATTACTTAAAATACATGCAGAAATATTTTTATTCTTTTTCTTAAACAACTGACATCCCTTCTCAACCAAGGAAGATGATCACATTTTACCAAAACTTACATGTATTAGAAATAGCTGGTTCTTCCTGAACTGTTTCCCTGGTAATTAGGAGTATCTCCAGTAACTGGGGATCCTCTCAGTGACTTGTTTCTCAAAGATCATATCTCCATTTTCTCAACTTTCTCCTGCCAAAAGAGTACTTTTGTTAAGCTTCAAGTGGAATTAAGTTACTGGTTATTGTTTGTTTAACAAAATGAGCAGAGACTATCAGTAGCAGTCTTAGTAAGCGTTTCATTCTTACTATTTTACTTGTATATATACTTTTTATTACATGAAAACTTACAGAGGCCAGCAAAAACTAGAAGGGAATGCATGATAATAATAGCTAGAATTCTGTTCTGCCCATGATAGCAAGAATGTAAACAAGAGACGTTATAAAAATATAAACACGGGAAGGCTTGTAAGAAGCCATGAGATGATATCTTTTCTCAAACCAAGAGATAAAAGCTTTTGGCCAGGCCCCGTTTCAGCTTTTAAATGGAAACAGCAAATGAAATACCACTACAGAATCATTCCTCTGAGTTTAACCTGGTGAAGCTAAGTCTTAGTCGTGTCTTACTTGGGATAGTAATTTTTTACAGAACTCAGGAGTTAACTGTGGGAAAAGTTTGTGAGTCTTCCATGGCATCATGGTAAATTCATGAAGCAATTAGAGGCAGCAGGAGCCTTCCTGCACAGCCACTGCCCCTGCACGTGGCATAACACTGTGCATGTCTGTGCATATCTTAATTTATATCTAAAATTCACTTTGCCACTAATGGTTTATGATAACTGAAGGCTGCTATATCTTAAATTGTTACAATGATAATTTTGTGTATTGTAATTTTAACTGATTATATGTTTGTTCCTCTTTTGTCTAGGAAATTACTGTAATGATCAAAGCATACTTTAATTTCTAGCAGTTTAGTTCTGATAGCTAAACAGATGTTCTTAATGGGTCTTAAGGAAACAGCACATCTAAAGAGTCGTAAATTTTATATTATGTAAGATATGGTATCGTGGGTTTAGTATTTGCAAGTTCTATTGGGGAAAAAACAGCATGAAGTAATTCAGGCAACCAGCCTCTCTGCATCTGCTATGCTGAAGCTGTTCTAGTAGCAGTCAGCTAAACGTCTAGTGTAAATAAATAATCAAGAGTGTCTGGTCAGGAGGGGGGATGTATGATTTAATTTTTTTTTTTTTAAATAGCTATTTAGGACTTCCAACACCACAGAATTTTACCTACTGAAATATAAATGGGACATGGACTGTGCTAAGAGTATTTACTTGAAAGCTCTTACATTATTAAACAAACAGCTTGGCTTTTGGCTAAGGCACTAAAACAGGTTTTAAGGGATTTGGACGCTTTCACTTTTATTATTCCAATTTCCTGTGCAGGGTAAAGTTGTCCAGCCATCAGCCTGTGAGATATTTCCGTCTGACTCCTGGATGATGCTTAGTGCTGTGTAGGACATGATGTAGGATGTGCCTATGAATTATTTAGCGATAACCTCGTCCAGACGCCGTTCAGCGACACGCCGAACAGGAAGAAGTAAATCGTGATTATTGCCCGCGGCAGCCCCCCGACGAAGCAGGGTCGTGCCACACCATGGCCTGTTCAGAGCTGGGAAGCGGTGTGACGGGGAGGGGGGCCTGGGGGCTATTGGGGCGCGCAGTGCGTGGGCGCAGCGCCAGGAACGCGCGGCGCTTCCCCGCGGGTGGGCGCGCCCCGTGGCCGCGGAGGAATGCCCCTCTCCTCCCCCCCCGCCCGCAGTAATGGTTCGGGCTTCCCGGCGCTGCTCGCCCCCTCCTCTGGTGACCGCTTGGACTCTCCCACTTGTGGCGGCTCCAAGGCCTCGAGGGAGCGCGGCGAGGGCGGTGCGCCGGCGTCACGTGACTCCCCGCGGCAGGGTCGAGGCCGCAGCCGCAGCCTCAGCCGGAGCGGCGCGGGGCCGGCAGCGCCATGTCGCTGCGGGAGCGGAGCGCGGGTGGCGCCGTCGAGACCGGGGAGGACGCGGCGGTGGCGCTGCCGGAGCCGGATGGCCCGGACCGGTGCCTGTCGCTGCTGCCTTGGGACCGCTTCTCCGCCTGGGTGCACTGCGTGTGCGTGGTGGGCTTCGACCTGGAGCTGGGCCAGGCCGTGGAGGTACGTGAGGCGGCGTGAGCGCGGTCCCCGCTTGGCGCCGGCGGCGTGAGGGGGCTCCGCGCCCGCCACGGCGCGGCCCTGGGCACCGTTCCCTCCCGGGGCGGGCCGCGCCGTTCCGCCGCAGCGCCCCGCCGGAATCGGGCGCTTCCTCTGCGGCCGGTGTTGCACAGCGGCGGGGGAAGCTCGGCGGCGTTGTGAGAGAAACGTGATTGTGTGAAATCCCGCTGCGGGGAGGGCCCGGCCCGGCGTGGCGAGCGGGAGGGAGGGAGGAGGGGCAGGGCTCTGTGGGAACACAGCGACAGCTGGCACGGAACGCGAGGTGAGTTTAGTTCTTTTCAAGCAACTGTTTTCATTATGCTGGTTGTCATGCCAGTGTGCCGTTGTGAATGGTTTTCATCTCGTGCCAAGATTTATATTAACTACCTCATCAGTTTTCTTTATGTGTGAATAGAACTGATTTCCATGATACCAAGATGTTAAAGATCTTAAAAGAGTTTAATAATAAAGTGAACGCAAGTAGCATTTATACGGAGTTTTCTTCAGATCACTGAGATGTATAACTACATTTCCTGAATGTTTGAAGCGTTTTCCATGCACCATTACATGAATGTCAAACTGTGATGATGCATTAGTGGCGTTGCCACAGACTGCGAGTTTTTTAACTCCCTGCTGCTCTTTGCCGTTTTGTGCAACAGGCAAACATCTATGAACTTGCATATGGAACTGCATTAGGGAACTGATTGGGCCAGAAAATGAACTGGAAAGAAGAATTATTAGGATCGGTTTCACATCCTGTTTTACTATATTCACCATATGACTGTGCAGCAAACAGTTGGTGTATAGGGAAAAATGTCTTTTTTTTTTTTTTTTTTTTTGGTGTTAAATTGTTCCCAGCACAAATGTATGTCAGACTGGCCTAAAATTCAACCAAGCTAGCTGTTACAATATTTAAAATACATAATTGATGTGCCTTGCTGGCTGCAAGAGAAATGCAAATAAAAAAACAGTATACTGCGTTAATTATCTAAGTTATATTTGCTTGATGTTATAAGGCATTGTTAGTAATAAAGACAAGCATTTCTTTACAACCTGTGACCTAAGCAGCTAATGTGCTCTGTGGCTGAGAGAAGCTCAGAGTAGCCTCTGTCATGTATGCTAACAACTCTGGTAACAGTCCCATTAATTTTAGTTGAAAGGATGCATAAAATTAAACTTAAAATATCTACATAACTAAGAATTGAGTTCTTTCAGTTATGTTGTCGAAGGAAGAGTAATTAACTTTTAGTTTTGATTGGAATTCTGGGAAGATACACTGACTATTTAGAAACGGCAGTATGAATTCAAGTCTGGTCTGTACTCCAATCATCTTTGACTAGATGCAGATAATTTCAGCATCATTCAGCTGCTGGAAGAGTTACATCTGAGTGTATTGGTTAGCATAAGATACTATAGGAAAATGTTAAGGGAATAAAAAAAGATGATAATAGGTTTACTAAATGCAGTATGCAGATATTTCACTCATATGTCTACTTTTAGCTTTAGTAATACTAATAGTATGCTGTATGGCTGAACATCATTGGATATAAGACTGAGGGGAATAAGAAATGGAGACTTCGTGGCCAGGAGACAGAAAGCCTGCTTAGTCAGAGACCAGCCAGTGGATATATTTGTTGTTTTCTATAGAGTAGGACAGTGTTACATTATCAGGAAATATATTTACTTACATTTTGTCGAACAAGATTAAACTAGATAACGGGGTGTTGTCAATGTGCTATTATGAGGACTCTAAGTTAATGTTCTTGCATTGAACTTCTGTTCTTATAGCAATTCTCATCTATGGAATTCCTGAAACCTTCTTTGAAATGATCTTTGAATTTATGTTTAATTTCCCTTGCTTACAAGCTAGCCACCTGTTCCAGTAGTTTGGGGATTTTTTTGAGGAACTTGTTAGCTGAAACTTATAAATCTCAGGTTTATCCTCTTTCTTCATTTGCTTGCATAATCACTGATTTTGTACATCCAGGTTTTTTAAATTATGGTCCTTCTGTGTCTTACATTGTCTTCCATTGTTTTGATTTTTTGCATTTAAAAAAAAAAAATTCTACTTTTTTTCTGTCAGTGGAAAAGCCATGACTTTTTTAGTATATTACTTGAACTTTCACAGTTCTCAGCTCTCATGTGGGGCCAGTGTTCATCCTCCAAGAGTTACTATTAATATAGAGGGTGTTTTATGACTGAATTTTGATTATTCACACCTAACTATCCATTGCAACAGATTTCAGACAGTAGTGTGTTGGCTTTCTGTGGCATCATATGTATTTTGTATGTACAACTTAAATCTAAAGAATATAATCGTAGTCTCCTTTGAAACCTGTTGCACCAAAAATCTCAAGTACTCTGAATTTTTAGTGTATCTATATGGTCTCCAACTGGCATGCAAAATACCTTGTAAAGGCGGGTGATCAAGTTAGCTTAAAAGCATATGAAAAATAAGAACAGAGACATAATATTACTAGTTTACCATTGAAAATAGCCTAAGGCTAGTCAGGTATTTGGGGGTTGTATCATAAAAATATTTAATAGAAGCTTACTGTTGATACCCAGTTTATTTTCAAATAAAATAATACTCTTTTCCTGTAGGTAATATATCCTCCACATTCAAAACTCACAGATAAAGAGGTAAGTTGTGGTTACTGTATAAGTATATAATTCGTTTTGAGTTATAATAATTTCAGGAAATATAATAGCTGTCTTTTCTTCTTCCCATTCTTTAGAAAACCAATATTTGCTATTTGTCTTTTCCAGATTCTAATTCAGGTAAGTGCTTCTTTCACTTTGTAGTTGTTTGTTGTTGAACTAAGCTATGTTAAGAATCAATCTCACAGTATATATGTTCATGGTTTTTAGTTTAAATACTTAAATAAATACCTTAATATTACAATAGAGAAAAAATGCAAATAGGGTTAAGTATAAAACTATAATTGTATTGCAGAAAGGTCTGAGAATTCATTCTTTATTTTATGTAAGCAAAATAACAGGATTGTGAATGTGTAAGACCTTCTAGATGTCATACATGCAGATGTTTCAGAATACTTTGCAAGTAAAGAATTAACATCTTAATGTTGCTTCTAAACAAAATAATAATACTGTCATTGTTAAGAGGAGTATAGGCACAGAATCTGAATTTTAATCTGGTTTAATAAAGCAAATGGAAGGGTTATGGAACCCTCTTCTCATAAAGAAGCAAGTGTACATTTTCTAAATTCATAACAATGAAACTGACTTCTAAATTCAAAAGTATTTAGAAAGAACAGTTGTAAAGGAAAAACTGAGGCTGTCCCGTATCTTCTGTGTTCTTGAGGATTCTGTTGCTGTGTGGTCCTGCTTGCTAAATTCTTCTTTAATCTAAACTTCTACTGTTCTGCTGCCAAAGAGAAATTGGAGACATGCGGCTGATTGCTTGGACCACCTGCAAAAAGATATGGCAGAAGTACAAACACTTCCTTTCACACTTATTTTTTTTACATAAGTCAAAACCTGTAGTAAGAGACTTGTCCCTATAACTGCTCTTACTTAATGATTTTGGTCGCTCTGCTGCATAACAACTCTGGTATGGGGTGATGCAGGTGTGTGCTTTTAATGTGTGTGAGTGCTCTCTCATGTAATTTTACTAAATGTCTTGCCTAATTTTTCCCCTTTGTCTTAATGTCATTAAAATTAAGATATTTTCTCTGTTCTTGATATCCTGTATGTAAATAGAAGAGCTGCTTTCTATTATTGGAAGAGAAGATGAGTTAACTGTATCTTCTTATTATGCTCATTAATGGTTATAAACCTGTTCAGCCTTCAAAAGGTGTATTGAAGGTACAAAATATTTTGTTAAGAACAAAGGTTGATTTTTAAATCTTTTTTTTTTTTTTTTTTTCCAAGTAAGAGTGGTAGTAAAATTGTTTTAGGCAGAATAGGTATATGTAAGGACGGTTTAGTTTCAGCAGGAAAACAATCCCAGCTTTTTGCTTTTTATAATGTCCCTACTAAGAACCTTTAAGTTCTTGATTGTTCTTGGTAGGCTGGTTTCAAATAATGTAGAGGGATTACCTACATAAAACCTGCATTCTAGAAATTAGCTGGGAGTCTGTGCTATCTGTTACGATTTATTTTTTCATTGTAGGCTGTAACATCAAAAGAAAAATTTTGTGTAATATAGCAGTGAAGGAAATTACTACCTTGCAGTTAAATGTGAGGTCACTCTTTCCTAGGTTTTCATGGCTCAAAAGCTTGTCAGCTGTTTTTTTTTTTTCCTTTTACAACTACAAATAGATATCATTCTAGGACTTGTAGTGGCTATGAATTTAGGGGAAAAGAATGATACAATAAGGCACTAGATCACACCTTTGGGGGTTTTAAGCTATGTTTCCTAGTACAGTTATCTTTGAAATAATGCTTTTGCCATTTCTGCATGGATAGTTGAAGAGAGAATACGTATTTACCAATCTTTTAAATTTCTACATACCGGAAGAGCTGGTTAAATAAGAAGACGTCATATTCTGAATGTTAATGATTGAAGATAATTTACTTGTAGGTCTTCTGTGTATAGCTTTTTATAATAGTTTGGTGTTTTTGCTTTGGATGAAGGGAACTAGGTATGAACACTTGGAGCAGATACTTAGTACTGTGTTATTGGCATGTGCTGTGCTTTTTCATGTTACGACTGGATCCATATTGCTAAGCACTTGCTTTAGTTACCTGTTTGAATTGGACAGTTACACCACCATACAGTGATTTGCTACTTTTTTCTTGGTGCATTGTGGGTTTCCTGCTGCAACTTCAAGGGGTTCCAAGACTCAGACCTGCATGCTCTGAACATGCCAGTATTAATCCACACTGCCAGTTGCACAGCCAGTGAATTCGACTGAGGGTCTGGGCTGTCTGTGGTTGCTGTAGCGGTATGTACGTGACTGAAAGAGAAGATGAAATTGGGCTTTTAAGTCTGAAGGGTAGTTACCTGGAGAATGGAGCTCTGCCTTGCTGTTCAGTCAGTTAGCACTGGCTTATGTAAGACAGGATGGCTGTGAAAAGTTCAGATGATCAGTAGTGACTTAACGATTTTTTTCTTGGAGGTCTTTGCAAATTATGTCCAAGAGCTGTAAGAGCAAAGCACTAATGAAGAAGTTAGATTCAGTGTGAAGAAGGACACGTCCTTTGCCAGCTGGAAGCTTACTGCTGGTAACAGTACCCGGAAGTGTAGTAGGTCTTTGGTCTTCGCAGTCACTTACATGAATGTTTACATTGTTATGGTGAAGACAGTCTGCTTACCACAGGTTGGCAGTGTTCAGGAGATTGACTTTCAGTTGATTGTGTTCATGTTAATAACTCTCCATTCCAAAGGGACTTTTTTTTTACAGGTTTGCTAGAAGGTGTAATATACTTATGTGAACATTGTGTTCAGTTTATACAGCTTCCACTTGAACTAAAGGGTTTTTTGGAGCTGCTTCTGTTTTAACAATAAACAGCATGTGTAATGGCAGCAACACAGTCTTAAGAGGGTCAGTGATGCAAGTTCTGATACTGCAGTTCTCATGTTCCACCTGGAGAAAGTATATTTGATACCTGATACAAACTTAGCCCAAATTTATTTTCAGATGGCAAATAGTCAATATACTTAGTTACATTTTTCTTTCAGAAAGTAATTTTGATAGAAATTAAGGGGAACATGACTTCTTGGGAGTATTACTGGCAATTAGTACTCAGTTTTCTGCAGTTTTGTGACTTTCAAAAATACTGAGTCCAAAGTCTTCATACTGAGTTGTAAAAGATCAACATATTACACTCTTATGGTGTGACTTATGTATGAACTGTTTGGTGTCAAAAAAAGGGCAAATACAGTCCTTCAACAGAGAAATAACAAGTGGTTAAGATGATCAGAAGTACACAGGCAGACCAATAAAATGTGTAGTAACAACAGGAGGATGGCGATTAGAAGAGCTGTTTCAGGACATGGCAGTCCAGTAAACTCTCTGTGAGGCAGAGTGACTTTTTATTTCTTTGTTGAAGGTAAGTTATTTATTGTTGCCAAAGATGCCAAATTGTTTTCTTAGAAAAATATAAATATATAAATGGTACAATAGCAGTGCAAGGTAAATGAACCAAAACTATTATAACTCTGGCTGTAAACAAGTCTTCATGTTAAACAAGGCTCAAACTCAGAATACTGTCTATTTGTTGTTTATCTCTTCCCCCTATGTAGGTTGTCTTGGGGACACGCAGTTTTGTTTTAGATTTCGACGGTCTCCTGGAAGGAAAGTCTCATTATGTTGTTTTCTGGACCAATTGGATAGAGATCTACCAGTTTACTTAAAGGTTGGAAATAAGAAAAAATGAAGTTGATTTCTTCTGGGTAATGTTAATTTATGGGTCTTCATGCTTAAATTTAATGCTTGAAAAACAAAATCTCTGAACTGGAAGATGAAGCTCAGAAAATGTTTTTTTGTAGGGTGTCATTATCGTAATAATTAACTAATAATTAGTTCTGGTAACTATTCTTTAAGTTTTCTTACTATGGGTTTTGGACTGCAAGGAATTAAATTGAAGACCACACCTATTTTGTTACTGACTAGAAACCTGTAGATCAAATTGTAAAAACCATTACCTTTTTGGAAATCTGTAGTGGTTTATAACAACAACAAAAAAAAAGGTTGACATGCGTCTCTGTTTCCACCATTCATTTTTTGAAGAAGGAGCAATTACCTAAAAGAGATAGTGACCAAAAAGTTGTTCTCAGCATGTCCATATGGAATATTGAGGCCTTTAACGATGTTAGTGGGAGTCTGATTCTCAAACTCAGTTTAGATCTGTTTGTGGCAAATACTTGAATTCCTATTTGCAGGAAGGATGAAGCTGATGCTTTATCTTTGACATGCGAGAGCCTGCTTCCTTAATATTCCAAGAATCTTTTCTAAAACTAATACATTGAAAACTAGGTTTTAACTTTTCAAGTCAGGGTTTTAAGGTTTGTAACTGCTAAAATCTTTTTAGTGCTACTTTGCAAAACTACGAGTGTTGATTTATTCCTCACGAAATTAATTCTGTTTTTGCTTTCATGTTGTGTCAGGAGAATGTAGATAAAAAACCAGTAAAGCCAGAAAGCACAGCTGTTTCTAGATGCTGATATTTTCTCTTTGAAGTATTTATTAAAAAAAATAATGCCAATAAACAGAACAATTCTTCTAGTTTATTGTATCAAATCAACTTTGGAGCTTTTAAAATAAGCTTTTAAAATACATATCAAATGCTTCAAAAAGAATGACAGTATCAGGTTGTTACATTGAATTCTTTCTTTTGCAGAAAGATCCAGCATATTACTACGGCTATGTATATTTCAGACAAGTTCGAGACAAATCATTAAAAAGAGGCTATTTCCAGAAGGTAATTTCAATTATTTTAGGGAAATATTAATTTGGAAATTATTTTTCAATGTCCTTGGAGGATCAGGAAGAGTATCTTGCTCTCTTAACTAAGTTTGTTGTTAATTTATAGTAAATATGTCTAATTTTACATTAGCTATGCTGTGCCAGCTGCACTGTCTGAGGAGAAATTTATTGTGTGTTTAAAAACAGAAAGTTGGGAACTTTTGGGAGTTGTTTGTAGTTGCGTGTAGTCAAATGTGTGGTTGGCTTGCGTGTGTGAGAAAAATCACACTTGACCTTCTCTGAGGATAACCAGTAGAGCTGCAATAGAGCTGAGGGAAGGGATTAACTTGAAATTATATTTTACTTTTGTTGCTCTTTATTACAGTCACTGGTCCTCATCAGCAAGCTACCTTATGTCCATCTCTTTCGCACCATGCTTAAGCAAATAGCACCAGAATATTTTGAAAAAAGTGAAGCTTTCCTGGAAGCAGGTAGTGTTACTATTACGTTGTTTTGGAAGAGCACTTACAATATCGCATACTACTTTTGGAGAAATAACAACACTGTCACATACTAGTTTGCATTTCTGACTTCTTGCATGGTAGAGAGTTGAAACTTCAGCCAACTGGCTTGATTTCTAGATCACTGAACAGAGATAATCTAGTTTTGGATCCTCCATGGGAGACTTGAAGTTCTGTTCTGAAAAAACATCCAGGGTTTTGGTTCTGTGCTTCAGGACCAGCTGTTCAGCACAAGTAGCTGATGCCATTCCTTAGTTCGCACTCTTCACACATCGAGTCCTTCTGAGGATTCTGATAGGGAACTGTAGAAATGTCATCTTTGTGAGGGTTTTTTGTGGTGTTGGGGTTTTTTTGTCTTATTTTTTTTTGTTTGTTTGTGTGGGGTTTTTTTTGTTTGTTTGTTTTGTTATAGTTTGTTTTGGTTTTGACCAAAGGGAAAAAGCAACAGAGCAGCACTGGTAACAGATGCCTCAGCCTTACTGTAGAACTTTAGGAGCCAGAGAGGGCCAAAGGGGGAAGTTATTTGCTCTTTGCCTGGAAATGCTATGTTCTTTGTACTGTGTCTGTCCTGTACAACATTTGTGTCTCTCTGCTTTCACTGAGCAAGAGTGTGTGGAAACCATTCTTGATAAAGGAATTGTATTTTTTATAATTACTTGTAGATAAACAGGTTTTTTGGTAGGTTATATTATGAACAAAATAAGCTCTGCAGAAACTACTAGAATTAGTAATGATATTCATAATTGTTTACAACAAAATGCTGAAAACTTCTTAGCCAAGCTAGAAAGCTAGCTTTTTCCTTAACAACTTGTGCTTAACTGTTCTACAGTACATAATGTACATAAATGTTTGCATTCTTTTAAAAGTTTCTTAATATGTAGTGTCGTTTTTTTCTCATAAAACATTTCTTCAACTAATTGTGAGTCTAGTTGTTAGAAAAATGGAAGATGAGAGGATACTGTTTTCTTTAAATTAAAATCTTTATAGTCCTGATGAAATAATACATTAAGAATGTCAAAAAGGCTGTAAAACTTCTTTAGAGTTCAGAGTGATCAAGATGTAAGTTGAACTGTTGTGGGCTACCAGCAGTAATTTAAAATTGCAGTGTGCACAAAGGTGATTACAGTATCATGGGTTATAGCATATATAAACTAGTTATCGATTATACTTTTTTTTCTTTAAGTTTGTAGCGATGTTGATCGTTGGCCACCACCAATTCCAGGGAAAATATTGCATTTGCCTATTATGGGTATTATAATGAAGGTAAATACTCCTGCACTTATTTTTCTCTGAGGGTGTTTTCCCCTCCATTTACTGTATAGGTACTCACTTTATTCTGCCTTGTTTTCAGTGTCTCATACTTCAGAACAGGAATAGATGTGTACTCCATTCAGAGTGAAGGTCTGGGAGATCTTGATTAAGTTCTTTGATTGGGGTGAGGAGGGGAGAATCTTTTATGGTGCATAGGTTAACATGTAGTTTTTGTAGATACTAAAAAGTGATATTTCAATACAACTAATAATTGCAGTATCTGTATTATCCTTCTGGAATACACATTCTAGGAAACTTTAATGCTAAGTATATTTCATGCTATATAATGCTAACTTTAATGCTAAGTATATGTCAAATCAAACAGTAAGTAGCACTTCAAAATACTGAGAATTAAGCTCCAGTCAAGCAAATCAAATATATTGATGAAAGTCATTCTTGTTTCTGAAGTCTGACAAGTAAAAATTTTTTTTGGCCCATGCACTAGAAATTAATTTTTTAGTCTGTTGATAATTTTCAATGCAAGTGAAATACTTCTGAAGTAAAGCTATTAAAGAAGTGCACAGGGAGGAACTGATGAGGTTAAATGGTGGCTAAGAACTGGGCCTCTGGGAGCCATAGCATCTTCATATGAGATGCACTTAAATAGATTGATGGATCCAGAGGTTACAGTCGAAGTACATTCATAGCAGATACTCTCAAGTTTATGGCTAGACACATGTACATCACCAGGGAGAGGAAGCTTCTGAAACTGTTCTGAAAGCTCAAATTTAATAAAGCAGTGTTCTGGATGCTGGGTGATAATGATGAGTGTCAGTTATGTCTTGTTTGGGTATTGCCTGCATTTATCTCATCGGTAATTCTTATCCATGAGAGTTGAAATTGTGTTCCTAACCTGAGTAAAGCCATAATTACTGTCTTCAGTGATACTATCCCTGGTTTTTTACACTGCTTGGGCAGTCAGTTTTAGTTGTGTATAAATTACATCCATTTGTGCACACCAACCTCCGTTATGATTAAATTTGTAGTAGTCAAGACTTATAGATGCAGACTGTGAAGTCAGAAAAATATATTTATGTTGTTCAGTCTATTTGGATTCTGCCTTATACCTACTAGGATGTCTGATGTTTTATGAGATGCCTTTTTTCTGAAAGTAATTCTGTGCCCCCCTTAAGACTTCATAATTATTTCAGATTGTTCTCTCCAACATTTTAACATATATTTATTGAAATTATTGTAATAGTTGTGACTAATGTTATCAATAGTCTTTTTTAACCAAAGTATAATTTTCATGTTCTAACACTCAGTTTGCAATGTAGTACTATGTAGTATTGCATATTGATTTTCTGTAGCAATGATCTGTAGTCTTCAGCTATATATTTGTTGTTATGTGCATGTTCTATAGAGTAATTTAAGCATCGTACTGTAGTATATCCTCTTTAAATGTTACATCTTGTCTATAAGTCAGCATTTTAAGTCTCTGCTGAATTAGATACCAGGAAAAAAAAAAAATGTTTCTTTTTCTTTCCAAGTTGCGGATTCCAACATACCGTGACAAGCCTGGAACAACACCAATAGTACAGAATATGCACCAGGTAGAGATTAGATCCCTCTGTTGTATATAAGCCCAAGATAAAACTAAATATCTGCCTTCGTTCTTTTATTTTAGACTTGTTCATAAAAGATTGGTAGCAAATCCTCGTATACTTTGATAATAATAAAATCCACAGTCTTTTAAACTTTGAGTGGAGGAGTATAGAGTGCTTTTTAAAGGTATTCTAACCCAGTTACCCAAGTACTTTAGAAGAGGGATGTCTGGCTCCTGGAAGAGCATAATTGGCTGACAAAATTTCTGACCTTGAACATCTTTTTAATGGGTGAAAATATATTAAACTAATTTTCTTTGTGGATGAAAGCTGAGTTAAAAATCTTTAGCTATAGAAGATGGATATATAACAAATCTGTGCCTTTGTGTGCTGCATTACTGTTGTTTAAAACAGCTTCAGTATTTTATATCTTTTCTGGACCAGAAATTGCATGCCTGTAAACGGTGTGTGTGTTGAGGGAAAGCTTGCTTTTAGCACACAAAAATAGTTGTGGGGATACTGTAGTACCTACTGCAATAGTACAGCAGTGGTAAATAATTAGGGTACATACCATGTACTGTCTGTAAGCATTTAAGGGAAACTGTTTCATTTAATACCTAGGTATTCTGATGACTAAAAAACAAGCATTGCGATATCTTTTAGGCAGATGCCCAGATCTCCATGGCTTTACCAACTGTTCATGAAGTAGATCTTTTCAGGTAGGCATTTGGACTGATTTATTCCTAGTTGTGAATTCCCACAAGTCAAAGATTTATGATGGTTCCATAACACATATCCCTTAGCTTGCAAGCTATGATTTAGCAGTATCGTTTTTAATCTTTTTCCTGTAAAGTTTCCTGTAAAGCTGGCTAAAACGCCATGCAGACAACATGCAGGCTGAAACTGCAATAAATAAGCAAGTTCATTAAATGTGTAATTTCACAAGAGGATTTTGTGGTTTTCAAATGACTATTCGGTACTGCTGCAAACTTCCATTTTATTCAGTTCTTAATCAAATGCATATTTCTACTGATTATATTAAGTGTATTAAAATACCTCAATTTGGTTTTAGGTGTTTCTGTCCAGTGTTCTTTCACATTCAGATGCTTTGGGAACTAGTGCTGCTAGGAGAACCACTTGTCGTGATGGCACCATCACCATCAGAATCTTCAGAAACCGTGTTGGCACTTGTTAGGTAAATGTAGTGGAGCTTCATAACTAGTAACTGAGTCATTGTAGATTGCAGCTGAGTGCAGCTTCATTCGATCTGTATATAACAAAGCATTAAGAATTTTAGATTTGCTTGATTCTTTGATGAAATTTTGCATTGTATACATACAACAAGTTTATCTTCTTTTTACCTTGCAGTTGTATTTCACCGTTGAAGTACTGCAGTGATTTCAGGCCATACTTTACTATACATGACAGTGAATTCAAAGAATATACAACTCGCACACAGTCCCCGTAAGTAAATCAAACTTTGTTGTGAAGATGTTGCTCAAAGCCTCTTGTAACCATAAACTTGTTTTAAGATACTGCTTAACTATTCTCAGTTTCTATCACTAGAGAATTACATTTAGGCTCCTTATAAATAAGTTTCATCATATGGAGTGCAGTAATTGGCTGTTTTAAGTTTTCATTCCAGTTAGAATAAAGAAGTTACAAAACAATGTCATAATTAAGCTTTCTTTGAGCTCCACAGGATACTTGTGTACGGAATAAGTAAAATAATAATATAAAAGCAAGAAAAGTTTTGATTTTCTGTAAGGGTTTATCTATGCAACACCAGCTCCATAACAGCTCCTTGGGAAATTGTTCTGTAACTGTTTCTATTTTTAAGCAATTACTAAACAAAATGACTTCCAGAATACAACATTGATGTGGCTGTTTTGTAAAGTTAATGCAGTCTGTGTCCTAGTTGAGACAATAACTTAAAAAGTAAATATCTCTTCACTAAATTTGTTTAAAAAAATGTAGTTGTAAGTAATTCAGAAATTAAGATTCTTTTTTTAAGAGCGTGAGTCTACCAGAAACAATTCTGTTTGAAACTGCTTTAAGGACACACTTTCCCCCTTTTTTGTTTTAATCCTTTTCTTATTTTGAGAGCATAAGCCTCCAATATTTCTTACTATATGTTACTTAAATGCAACTTGATTTGGGAATGGAGTGCATGTGTTAGATTCACTGATCTTCTTATAAATAATTTTTTTTCTAATGTCTGAACAGGCAGTGATTGTTGTGTTGAATTTTTTTGTTCTTTCATTGTTTTCTTTTACTGTCTTTTTCTTCTCAGCAAAAGTACTGCCAGAGATACAGCAGTGGGAAAAATATATAAACATAGTCACTATGTTTCAGACTGTGTTACATGGGAATGGTTATGCAGTATGTAATATACTTTCGAAAAATAATTCCCAGAAGAATTTGGTTAAACTTTAGAGACCTGTGTTTAAAAATGGCATGTAGCAAAATAGAAAGGTTGTTCAGTATGTACATTAGTATTTGAAATAGAGCTAGAATTGCTCTGCCTTTCTTAGGGGGGGAAAAAAAAATTGCCAAGATTGGAAATAGGCTTTTAGAGCAGTGGCTCTAAGAAAGGGAGGAATGCAGATGATGCAGATTCTGTGTATTTTATTACCTTTAGTGAGAAGGGAGCAAGGGGCTATTTTTCATCTTGATGTTTTGCTTTATCCTGCCTTTTCAGGAATTACTTCAATGTTTTAAAATCAGAACTAGTTCTGGTAAATATCATAGATCAAGGCTCCTAAAAGTGACAAGTAGCTTAGCAAGTCTTGCTATTATATCACCAGTAGCAGTGAAACGAGATTCCTCATGATTTGCTACCCATGTACCTTGACCTGGAGAGTTATTATTTTTGTGTGTGTGTATAAATGAAAGTGTTATTTGACTTTTAACTCTTGGTCTTTAACACTCTAGTCAGTAAAAGAATGTCAATTTGCGTACATTGGTCCAAACCAATTCTGTGTGAAACTTGCTTTTTTGTTCCCATAGAATAGGCATGAGAAGATTTAATAGTTAGGTTAGGTTAGACTTGAGACATCCCTAGGGAGGAGGAGGAGGCTTGTTTGGGTTCTTTTGAGCCTCAGTTTGTTTCTTATGTTGAGTCTTATGAAATGAGCATGAGAGGAACATAAGGTAAAAGGTCATAAATTGATTTTTCAGTGTACAACAAAAGAATCTGTTGAGACCTTTTTATGGACACTGGTCTTGACCATTTTGGAAGACAGATTGTAAATCATGTATGATAACACTGAAAAAACATGAACAGTATTTGCAAATACCAGTAAATTTAAATCAATAATGCAGATGAGTTTTAACAGGATTATAGAAACAGCAAAAAATGAAACTGAATTCTAACGAGTGGGAAAAAAGTTACAGTATCTGGAATAAAATGGTTTTGGGTGAACATACTTGGAAGAAGTGATTTTTCTGGTGAAAGTTGAGACAATTACAAGCAAGCAAAGACTTCTGAGAAATTTATATAATTTGCTGATGATGATTCTAGGATGGAATGCAGAGGTGAAAATTGCTATTTCCATAACCTAGACATTATACTAGGCTACAGAGCTGTGTGATTTTTGTCCTGTATGTGAATGCCTAAAGAGGTTTTTATATGTGTATATATATATATAGCTAGATATTTATAATATTTTATGTGTGTGTGTATATTTATATATAGTTATAATTAGGAAGTAGAAGGAGGAATGAAAGTCAGAAATGTTTCTATGTTAACATAGAAATCAATTCCCAATTGCCATCATGATATAGCTGGAAAAATTTAATAAAAATTTAAAGGAAGTCTGCTTGGGTTTTTTCTCCCCATGTTGCCCTGAAAAACAGGAAACTTAAGAATGGTGTACAGAAAGTGTTAAAATTCGGGATTTTTAAAACCAATCTGAAGAAGCGATGGTAACATTTTTAATATGGCAGTTCAATGAGGCTTGCAGTTATACTCTCTTTTCAGTTAAAGTTTGGCTGTAAAATGGACATACTGAAAGTATGTTGATATTTCATCATGTTAGTGCTATAAATCCCAAAATCTCCAGGCCTGTGCTGTAGCAGCAGCCCTATGCTCTTACTGCCTCCTGTTCTCTGGGTGCCTCTATGCATCATCAAAGCCAGATTCTAAGCACAAGAAAAATCTAACAGTGAGTTTGGGCACAATGCTATTAACATGCTTGTACTTCATCACTTGATAACTGCTTTTTAACAAAGAACGCTGGAGTGTTGTAAAGGAAGTAGGATATTAAGTGTCTCTTTTTTTTTTTAATCATACCATCTGAGCGGTAGCTCTGCTGAGAAGTCTCGTACAAACAGCAGCCGTGTTGACATGCACATTCAAGTACTGCGAGTTTGCTATAATCAAACCTTGAAAAGTAGCAACTTGTTTTTCAAATATAGGTCAGATTCCTGCTCATTAAAAAAAAAAAAATCAGTAATTCAGATGATACCCTGTTCTCATCATTGCAAATAAGTAGAATTTAGCCAAGAGTCTAAGCAGATGATGTCACTTTTATTTTCCACTACCATTTGGACTTTAATTTTGAACTTCAAATTATTTTCCTTTTGTATTTAAGAGTTACATTTTAAGTTACATTTTAAGAGCACAGTATGTTTATCAAAGCTTTAAAGTTTTAGAAAATAGCAAGATAGATGTATTTTGAAGTTGACGTTATGTTTTCATTAAGACAGAAGCTCTTACTGTTATATTTTAAACACTGTCATTATTTTTCTAGACCATCTGTCATTCTAGGGGTGACAAATCCTTTTTTTGCTAAAACACTTCAACACTGGCCTCACATTATCCGAATTGGGGATATTAAACTTCCAGGTAAAGTACAAATATCTTCTGCAATCCTGTGTGACAAGATCTAATTGTGTGCTTATTTATTTACAAACACATGTAATTTTTGTTCAATTAATTTAGTTTAATACTAACCAGATCCTTATGGATGTAAATCTGTCAAGTGAAATTAGGCTCTTGAGTACTGTATGTCTTGTATTGCCAAATCTAGTATATTAGTAATAATGTTTTACCTTTCACCCAATCCTGGTTTTGTATCTCTACCAATAAGGTATTAAAATTAGAAACTTCATTTATTACTGATGTTAATTTTATGACAAGTAGAATGTAATAAATCAGTCACAGCAAGTACACAGAAGGTAAGACCCATGTGAAAGCTAAGTTTGAATGTTAGAATAATATAGCAAATAGTTTGTTGACAGTATTTTGAGAATATGTTTCTAATCTGGCAATATTCCAGTAATTATTAATTGTTCAAGTTCTATGATTTCCTTACATGATTGAGTAGAATTTTAATGACATCTTTGGATGACATGTCAATTGCTAGCCTGTAATAAAATGCTGTAGTACTCTATTATATGAAATTCCTGAATGTGGCTGTTTGCTGTGACAGGTTCACTGTTTTGTTCTGAAAGTGGTAATTCATAAATATCCAGTTATGATAATACACTATGAAATTCATTTTTGTAGAATAAGTTTCATTGAATTTCTGGAGACACCAAATTAATTACACAAGGTTTTGTTTTACTTAACATCATGCCTGTTTATGCATCATAATACCTGTGGGGAGGAGTTAGCTAGCTGCTGTGTAGTTAAGGTTTGGAAAATAGAATCTTAATTAAACTGATAAACATCTGCAAAGCCAGATACACAGGTTGCCTTCAAATTTGATACACAGTTTCACGTATGATATTCTGAAGTTTTAGTGCAGCTATGTGAAATGCTTAGTCATGTAGTTGTAGAGATGTATCTTGTCTGACTTGCCTTCAAAAATTTAAATTTTATTTCTTTAGAGACAAATAGAGGGCTTGTGGGGTTCTGGGTTTTTTCTTTTGTGTGTGTTTTGTTTTGTTGGGTGGGTTTTTTTGTTTTGTTGTGGTTTTTTGTTGGGGTGTTGTTTTTTTTTTTTCTCTTCCCTTGTTTCTTCACTCTGCAGTTTCCATAGTAATTTATACTGTTATGTTTTCCGAAGTCAAGCATCCAGCTAGATCCAAGAGGAAGGTTCTGCTGAGGCTGTAAGACTCTTAACAGGGCTTAGGACCTTCTGGCTGGAAAAGGATATATTTGAAAAACTAACCAAAAAAGCTTAGTTTGGCCTATGGAAAATGAGAATTTAATTTTCTTTCAACACTTAATATATGGCTACTCTTTTAATTTCTTGTATACAGTTTTTATTTTGGCTAAGGTAGTAAAGATTTGTTCCTGAAAGCATTTACCCTAAGGGGAGCAGAGGAAGATGGAATAAAACTTGATGTTGATGAGTCATTCACTGATACATAGTCAGTATTTTTCTTTGGCTGCTTTGATTCAGATGGTCATCCTTTTGTCTTTATGACTTGGTTTTGTTGTGGGTTTTTTTCTTTTCAACAGGGAACCTGTATGAACTAAAAAGCTTGTATGCTGTTATTGATAGTTGACTGGATGTTTCTGGACCTACTTAGATGCTTGTCAGTGTTTATAATGGTTCTTACAATATTAGGTAGTCTTCTAAGTGAAAGTAGCCATTTCTAAGACTTACTGCAATTTATAGCACATCAACTGTAGTATCTAATAATAGAGAAAGGAGATTTCAAGTAAGGTGGCTTTAAATGTTTTTGCAGGTGAAGTTCCAAAGCAGGTGAAAGTGAAAAAACTGAAGAACCTAAAAACTTTGGACTCCAAACCTGGTAAGAAGTTGCTTCAGAGTTAAATTAGCAGTATTTTAATTTTAAAAAGCATACCACGTTTTTCCTTTGGCCATATGCTGCTTTTTTTCTGTAGGTGTTTATACCTCTTATAAACCATACTTGAACAAAGATGAAGAAATTGTTAAACAGTTACAAAAGGTAATACTGCAAGTCTCTTCTTAATGGGGATTATTTTCTGTACTGTGATACGGTGTTTTCATTTAATGCTGAGCTCTGTCTATTTAACTGAAGTTTGTCATTCTTTTGCCCCAGTTCATAACTGAATAGGTAAATACATACCTTTGTTGTTGAAGGGCTGCTGATTTGTTAGCAGTTTCTGTAATAACATGAATGGTAGAACTCAAGTAAGGCAGCCCAATGATTTAGAGAATTGCAGTGATGATCAGTTCATCTGGTTTGGGTTTTTCACCCTCTACCATCCCCCTCTAGTGTCTTTGGTCTAGTAATCTCCTGCATTAGGTATGTAAGAATCAGAGCTTTCAAGCTTTAACTGATTTGCACAAGTTTGTTTATAGAAGTTTCTCTTTCCTTTAATTGCTTTACATGAAAATAAAAAATTAGCAATTGAAGGGGTGAATATCTCTGCAAAAGGACTTGACTGTATTCTTTTCCTTTCATGGTTCAAGGTAGGGAAGGTTTTATGGCAAATTAATATAGAAACATTGGAATAAATATTCTTTAAAAAACCTCACAACTACTTACATATTTTGAAGTAACAGACTTATTGTGATATTTTATTTCTTTTTTTTTAAGGGTGTACAACAGAAACGTCCTACAGAAGCACAGAGTGTGATTCTTCGGCGATATTTTTTGGAATTGACAGAAAGTTTCATTATTCCATTAGTGAGTTCTTAGACTAATGGGCTTTTTACATCTGTAATACGGTGTAGTTCTTTTGGCATTAGCCTGACCAAGTTCAGTAACCAGCAGCATACCCCTGGGGTCAACACTGAGTCCAGTACCGTTCGTCATCTTCATTGGTGATCTGGATGATGGGGCAGTGTGTACCCTCAGCAAGTTTGCTGATGGTACAAAACCGGGAGGAGCAGCTGATACACCGGAGGGTCATGCTGCTGCTCAGAGGGACCTCGACAGGCTGGAGAAATGGGCTTAAGAAACCTCCTGCAGTTCAGCAAAGAGAAGGGCCAAGTCCTGCACCCAGGGAGGAATAAACCCAGTATGTACTAAAAGGCACTGGGCTGGAAGGCAGCTTTGCAGAAAAGCATCTGGGGGTCCTAATGGATGTGAAGTTGAACATCAGCCAGCTATATGCCCTCAAAGCAAAGAAGGCCAATGGTATCCTGGGCTGCATTAGGAGGGGATGCCAGCAGGTTGAGGGAGGTGATCCTTCCCCTCTATTCAGCACTGGTGAGGCCACACCTGGAGTATCATGTCCAGTTTTGGGTTCCCCAGTACCAGAGAGAGATGGAGATACTGGAGAGAGTCTAGTGAAGGGCCACTAGAGTCATTTGGGGATTGGAGCATCTTTCATATGAGGAAAGGCTGAAAGCACTGGGACTGTTTGGTCTAAGGAAGAGAAGGTTTGGGGGTGGGGGGGGATCTCATCAATGTATATAAACATATTTATATATGAAGGGAGGATATAAAGATGATGGATCCAGGCTCCTTTCAGTGGTGCCCAGTGACAGGACAAGAGGCAATGGGCACAAACTGAAACACAGGAGAATCTGTCAACTATCAGGAAACACTTTTTTACTGTGAGGATGACTGAGCACTGGCACAGTTAGGTTGACCAGAGAGGTTGTGGAGTCTCCATCCTTGAAGATACTAAAAAAACTGTCTGGGCATAGTCCTGGGCAGCCTTCAGGTATGGTTGAGCAGAGGGTAAAGGAGGGGAGTTGGACCAGATGACCTCCAGATGTTCTTTCCAACTGTTTTGTGATTCTGTGAATACTGTTTGAGCTACAAAAATTAACCATTAAGTGATGTCTCCTCTAAAATATTGTAGTCTTACAATTATTTGATTACAATATTTAGCATAAAAATTATGAAGGCCATAGCTTAATGTCAAAAATGAAACATTTATATACCTAGAAAAAAGGTTCAGCTCTCAAAAATGATTACTACTTTGTATGTGCTGCTAGGCAGCATTTTTGGATGTTTGCTTGCATTATACTGTGTAGCATTTATGCAAAGCGAAACTCTGTGTGTGGGTATTTTAACATGGAGTAAGAAGGAATTTTCTTTAATCCTTCCTCAACACTTGTCCACTGAAGTCTGTTTGGTTTTGTCTTGGTTTTTTTCCTTTTAAGTGTAAGGGTGTTGCCCTTGACCTTGAGAAATGTCAATATTGGAAAGGTAGAGTTGGAAAGTACTTTGTAATGAGAAGAGTTCTTTAAGCGTGTACTCTTGTAGCAAATTCCTATTTGCTATGATAGCTGAGGGGACACTATAAGGTAATATTTCTATTATCATGTGACAGATGAGCCAATTCAACTGGTAAATTAGACTGGCGTAATTTTTTCTCTTAAATATTTATTGTCTTCTAATGGTAGTGCTTTTCCATGCAAATCATTAAAGTTTAGAGAATTTTTCCCTTTTCCATATTTGTGCACTCACCGCTGTTACACTTGGTGTGAGAAACTGTATCTAGTACATCTTGGTTCCTTTCATGTCTTGTCCAGACAGAGCATTTCATGACTTGCCCTCTAGGCAATTCATTTACTTCTCTTACTCTTTTGCAGACTGACTTATCTCTGCAACTTCATTTTTATCTATATTCAATCTGACTTTCAAAGAACAATGTCTGTCTCCAAAGGTAGACTGTTTGGGGTTTGTTTTGATTTTTCTTTTTTTTTGTTCGTTGATTTTTTTGGAAGTTTTTGCCATTACCTGCAGTGGACAAATTTCAGCAATTGGACCTCCCTGGGCAGTTGTTTTATGATCTCAGAGCAGCTATTTCCTGAGATTACTGTAGTATTTATAGGATTTTCAAATATTTCACCTATGTCAAGCATAAATAAAAGTTACAAGAGACTTCTGAGAAAAAAGCAGTGTCTCTACTTAAATTCATAGCATCTACAACTAGCAAAAGGATTATTATGAAACTCAGCTTTACCTCTGTCTCATTTCCTGTCAAAAAACGTTAATGTCCAGCACCACGTAGCCGGGGCTACAGAATTTGCTTTCTGTTTTCTAATTCGTGCAGCAGGATAATGATAAATACGTTCTAATATGCTCTTACCTAGCATTTAAAGGTATGAAGTCCAAGAAATTATGGACTTCACCAACCCAAAAAGTTCAGTGTGAAGTTAGGTCGCTTCTCTGGGCAGGTGGTTAAAACTGGTAAGTGAAACCTCAGGCATTTTTACGTGGATGTTTATGTATCAGATGTCCCATTCTGAGCACTCTGAGCACTTTGTGGATGACCTGTACTTTTCAGCATTTTAGAGCATGCGTGATCAGGTTCAACTTCTGTTTGCAAGAATTGCGGCATCCCTAGCCACTTGTTTGTCTTTTGGTATTAATGATTAGAGGAGTGTTTTTCTCAAAATTTGTCTTTCCTGTTCTTTTGAGACAAGATGGACATGTAGGGCGAATCTAAAACCTTTCCCTGGCATTCTCCCCCCTTTTGCTCAAACTTTCACTTCAAGTGAGAAACTTAATATGTCTTCTGTCACATTTTAGTTTACAGGGTGAGATCACTCTTTATGTTCTCTGCCACAAGAAAAATATATGGGGAGGTCCTTTGTTTCTTCAAAAGACAGAACTAGACTTTTCATAATGTTATCAAAGCTGATGATGTTTAAGATAAAAATGTATGGCCACTTGTCTACAAACACTTTCAAAATGTATAGCAGCTTGTATTGATGTGCCTGTGTGAGCTGGCAAGGTAGAGCTGCCTTCTGTCATCAGACCTTAAGCTTCAGCAGTGGCCTTGCTGAGAAATGTCTCCACTACTCCTACATGAGACAGCACGGCTCTAGCTATGCCTTTGCCAAGCACTGACACTGCAGAGATGCCCACAGCTGTTACAGCATTTTGTAGGTTCTGTATTTAATGTTTGTATGAGGGACTCTGAAAATCAGTTGCAAATACTTGATACAGAGTGGGGTTACTGTCTGGAATCACGCATGAGATGAAGGTATCTGTGGGCTGTCACCAAAGAAAAGAGATTATTTGTTAGTGGCTAGAGTTTAGGAAATACAGATATAGGTATGTATATGTTTGCTTCATGTACTTCTTGAGTCTTGCTGACATAAAGTTCTGTAGTTGGGAAATACAAATGGTATTAGATAAGCTCCTTCTGCTCGCATGTGGTAAATATGCATAACCCCACCCTGTACTAATACTTAGAAGAGAAAATGCTGTGGTCACAAGTGATAAGTAAACATACACGTGGACTGTATATCTTTAATACTGGTTATGCAAACAACCGTTCTTTTTCCTTTCCATAGGAACGTTATGTGGCAAGCCTAATGCCTTTGCAAAAATGCATATCACCATGGAAGGTGAGGAAATATAATTCAGATGAGCTGGAAGTTGGTGATTAGAGAAAACAGTGTTCGTATGCTAATGATTTTTTTGTTGTTGTTGTTTCCATAGAGTCCACCACAGCTGAGGCAGTTTAGCCAAGATGACTTCATGAAGACACTGGAAAAAGCAGGACCACAGCTCACATCAGGTTTAAAAGGAGACTGGATAGGGCTTTACAGGTCACTTTTTTCATCAGCATAAAAAATTAAATAATGTAAATGAAGACAAATTAATAATATGAATGCTCGTTTCCTGAGCAGAATTAGCAGTGATTTGAATAAGACTTACTTTTAGAATATATGTTTCAATAGGAGTTGACAGTGCTTAGTGTACTTTACTCACTTAAACCATTCTCTGTAACCTGTTAAACACATTTTCATGAGATGCTACTAACACTACAGGTCTCTGTATGCCAGTATTTGTAGTTTTATTACTGGTTCTAATTTGATTTCTCCTTCCAATCAAACACAGAGATAAAAAGGGGGGTATTTCATACTGAGCCTTGCTTTTGTTCCTGACAAAATTACTAATATTTATTGGGTTTCAGACACCTTTTCTTTACTTTGTTTTCTTAATCTTTGTCTTGATTAATAGAAGCACCTATTATACTCCCATTCAGTACATAACATTTTTCTGAAAGTAAACAGAGAAAGGGTCCCAATATGTTCTTCAACCGAAAATATAATTACTTGACATTTGATGACACAGAAAACAGTGTTATCAAAATTGTAATTAAAATATAAAATGTAATTTGCTTTGGTGTTTTACCAGGCATTTCTTAAAATCACCGAACTTCGATGGTTGGTTTAGGAGCCGGCAGAAGGAAATGACACAGAAGTTGGAGGCCCTTCATTTAGAAGCACTCTGTAATGAGGTTAGAAAAATGTGTGCTTATGATTATATTTATCATCTTGTAATATAAATATATTCTCCCTCAAGTCAGTTTTACTCCTGCTGTTTTTATTGGTTGAACATAAAAATGTTCACAATTTTGTCAAGTCTGATCTATCAGAACATGATTTTGTTAAATAAGTACAAGCTAGAACTAACATAGCAAAAGAGAACAATATGAAATACAGTTCACTTTTTTATAACAACTGACATCATTTGTAAAATATATTTTTAGTACTTTTTTTGTTGTCTATTTTGAAATTGAATAACACACACACACAAAGAAGGCTTTTCCTCTTATTTGATGATGTTATTTCATTCACTTTCTTTCCTTGGCATTTAACTTGACAACAAAGTTTTAGTTGTGATACAGTTTGTAGCTTTGAAGGTATAATCTCAGTGAGTGCCGTAGAAAATTGACAACTCATTAGATGTGGATAGTAAATTAGCCTACAACTGATCCATAGTAATTGGAAGCTGAGAAGTGAAATCTATTTGTTGAAATATAGCAAAACATCACATAAACCATCTTATGTTTTAAGATCCATTTTTGACTTAAAAAGCTGAAGTGGGTATCAGTATAACCACTGTTACATGAGTCGGAACAACCAATAAAGGCATTGCAAGAGGAGAAGAGATTGTACAGCTAAAGAGGGAATAGGAAGAACAAAAAAAAAGTCAACACCACAGCTTTAAAACAAGCAAAAAAATTACACTGGGTATCTTAAAAAAGCCTTTGATTTTTATCCCTTGCTTTGTCAATTTCCAGACAGTACATGGTAGCAACCCAGATAGATTGTTCAAATAGAGCAGCCCAAATAATTTGCAGCGAAATAGCGAGGTCAGTTATATCACTTAGAATCTATGCAACTATATTTGACACTAACTTGTTGCAAAGAAAAGGAGCTGTGTCAAATTTAGTACTGATTCTGCTCCTTATTAGCTGCTTCTTCTGATCCAAGCATTAACATCTTTCTGTACATGAGCAAATGTCTTTAGTAGGTGAATAGGAAAGGGGAAGGGGAACACAACTTCCATAAGAAAATTTATTTAATGAGTATATGTTACTAGTTATTGACTATGTGATCTCCTTTAAAGCCCTAGAAACAAGTGCTGCCTGGCACTATTTTAATAGTTCATTGTGATGGCAGATCTGATTTGGTAAACATTCACTGCCTTTTTTGCGTTGTAGGTGCTATTTTTGAAACCAATCCTGTTTGGTGTGGTTTTTTGTTTTATTTTTGTTTGTTTGTATTTGTCTGTACTGTGTTTGTATGCTTGTTTCGTGTTATAGTAAGTCCTGGGAAAATATGCAAATAAAGCAGATTTTGCATTTCACCGTAGAGATAGTACGTGAGTAAAGTGAGTTTAGTAAATGGCATGAGAATAAGGAGAAGACCCATTCTAAACAATAGGTGTTAAATTAATACTACTTTTGAAAATCATATATTTTGCCATAAATATTTCAATGCTTAATTTTTATTATTTTAGAACTTGGTTTTCTGGAGTCAGAAGCATACTGAAGTAGAAACAGTGGATCTTGTCTTAAAGTTAAAGAATAAACTGGTAAGTAACTGAGTTGAACATGGCTCAAATTTGCATGACTTAACTAGATGAAAGTATTATATAGTTGTGTTTACAGGCACTTACATGAAAATATTTTTTAAGATATAGGTAGCTCAAGGAATCAATCATTCAGATTTTTAAAACAAAACCAGGTAATTTCAGCCATGACTGAGAAGTTAGCTAGCTTCCCAACATTGTCCAGCTATGTTGGAAGCATTGTGCTGATCTTTTTTTTTTTTAAAAAACTAGTTGCAACTTTGTGACCAATCTGAGTAGGAGCAAGGCTGAATCATCAGGGAAGAAGAAACCAAGCTCTCTTGTGATTACTGAAAGTCCAAATCAATGTTAGCTCATGCTGTTGTGTGGTTATTGGGGAAACTTGCTATTGTCCAAATTTGTACTCAGTCAGCAGATGAGGAATTAATTTTCCAGATTTGACATGTCACTTTGGTGTGTCTTAAGGTAAACTTGCATTTTTAGTAGAAATCACATTTCGCTGTACCTTTGCAGTTGCAGGCTGACAGAGAACATCTTCCAGTGAAAACTGACACTCTGCAAAAGCTGCAGACACACATCAATGATATAATACTTGCACTTCCAGATGACTTACAGGACATCTTGCTCAAATCTGGCACATGATTTCTACAGGGCTTTTTTTGCGCAGAAAACACAAGGGAAATGTAGGTTCACAGAAGACAGTGGCTTACCAAGTTTGGAACTCAGCTGTAAATAGTATATTAACACTACAAATGGACTGTACTAATAGTATAGCCCACTATACTATTTTCACTGTTTTTTTCCACTGAAATACCAATGCAACTAAAGGAATTCCTGTGTCTAACGGTATTTGAAATAAGTGCTCTTAAAGAATAACCTGTGGGCGTATGAAATATACCACAGCATAGGACCACAGTGCAGTGCTGGCATTGCAGAATGTTTTCCAATTGGTGCTGCTATACCCAGTCCTGTTAACTCAGGGGTAAGCAATATTGATCCTGTACTGTCCTGTTGATGTAGTATCTGATTACTTTTTTTGTCTTTTTGTTTTCATCTAGTGATCCATCCAACTGACCTGTTATGTGACTTGGTCAGAATTACATGCTAGTTGAGGTACTTTACTGGTAAATCATTGCTTTCAAAACTGTTTCAGGGACAGTTGAAATAATCAGATCAGTTCATAACTTCCTTTCTACTTAGCATCTTTCCAAACCGTATTAATTTAGCATCTTTAAAGAAGAGAAGGCAGCTGACAAAAATTTCTTGAAGAGAAGGCTCTTCCATTCAATGTCAGTTAATTAGGGTGCTCTTACTCATATGCCTTAAATATAAAGTAATCATATACTAACTGGTGGTTTTAAACTGCTGACATTCAGGATTTAAAGTGGATCACTAGTGTAAATGTAAGCATGCAGTATTCATCACGGGAAATAAACACAGTGGTGTTCTAATACGGATTTTTAAATCAGTGATTTCAGTAGAGTTAGCTGATACACAATCTGTTTCAGTTGGAAATCATAGCAGTTAGCTCCTGTTATAACTTTTTTTTCACTTTATATTTTTTTACCTATACCAGTAGGGTTTTTGAGGAGGTGATGGGGCTAGAAGGCGAAGATGTTGGCTTCAGCTGAAAAAAACCTATGGAAGGGTCAAACTGTGGCAAGAAAGGATTGTAGCATGAAATTATTCTCGGTATGTGCATATAGCAGACATGCATAAAGAGTAAATTCCTCCTGCATATTAAGCAACAAGAATGTGACGTTTATCTTGAACAAGTTTCAGTGGTATATAAGAACTTAGCTGTTCCACATGCAGTGTCGTACTTCGACCAGTTTCAAGTAGAATAAACTTAATTCTATAGTGTACGCACAGCATACACTTCTATATGACAAGTAGATCACAGTTCTAAAAAAACTCCTGCTTTTAAGTGCTTGGATAGAATTTTTAAAAACTTATGACATAATCCTACTATAAGAATATGCTTTTGTATGATAAATATTTCATACCATCTTAAAAAAAATGTCTTATTTAGATATAAAGTGTCACAATGGTATTTTTATGAAAATGTATTTTAATACTGTTCTGGTTTGTATACAATTACTCATGACCAAAAGCTTAATGTATCTATTATGTTACTTAAACTACACCACTTCAGCATTAATTTCTAACTTGCAAATTTTTTTTGCACACCCTGATGAATAGCATTTCTAATCCAGAAGTTACTAAGTGGCCATTTTTATACTACATCATTTTAAATATTTAACCTGGAACATTGTGTATTTTCTTGGAACCATGTAAACTGGTAACAACTATAACTATCACATGACTGCAAATAAGTATTTTTGTAAAAGAAAATAAAGGGTTTGATTTTTTTATTTATTTTTTCTTTGGAAGGTATGTGACTTAGATGATGGGTCTGGTTTGTTTGCTTCTCCCCTCTCCTATATAAGCAAAGCTGTTTGGCAGCTTGTAGAGGCTGCTGCGTAGTCTGACTTGTTGAAGCTGTACCCTTTAGGTGAGCAGAAGTGCCTGATGCAATGGAGTGGTGGTGTAGTTTGATCATGCATCATGATTGTAATATGATAGTGCTTCAGGATCCTCAGGGAAGCAAATAGCAGGGACTGGCTTCCAAGCAAAATTTATCCAATCTTCATTCTATTTGCTGTACACATCTGAGAGGCCTTTGAGTAACATGGAAGTTTCTCAGGGAAGTAGGCTGTGGGAAGTAGACTGCAAGCAGGAGTCTATTCAGGTTTTTTTAATGGAGTTGGTATTAGTTTAAATCCCTGAATAACCAGATGGTTAAACAAAATTGGAATATTGTTCAAAAGAAAGACAAAAAAGACAAGTTGTACTGGGTTGTTTGCTGTCTTCATCAGTGACTTGTAATGGTCTTAATGGTGGCTCAAGAGGACCTTAACCTATAGCTACAAGTCTAGGCAAAATGTAATCACTAAAACAGGAACAGTCTTTCCTCATTGCAGGTTTCTGAACTTGTCCCATCTCCCTGCAGTCCTTTTACACTGAGCATGCATATTTGGACTAGGGATGCTTCAACTATTTGTAGTGTTGCATCAGAGGAATTGTCATCTGCAGAAGGCAGTTGCCAGCTTGGTGAGCTGGAACTTTCCCACCCCTGTTTTTTGTTTTTCTTTTAACTCAGTGTGTTTAAAATACAGGAAAATAGCTTGTACTAACCCTCATTCATCTGAAGCTTGATCTCTAAAGGACAGTGCAGAAAAACTACTAAGTTGCACTAACTTTGCCTCAGTCTTCATCCGACTTTAAAAAAAAAAAATTTTTTTTTCTGTTAATTGTATATAAGTATGTACACACATGCATTGTGTGGACCAGGATGGGAAAAAGTCCCTAAGTGAAGGAGAGAATATCTGGGTGATTAGAAAGGGTCCTAAAAAGAGGTAGCAGCTGTTGAGTAAAGAAATGCAAAAGATAAAGCACCAACTGGGTCATCAGAAGATGTTAAGACTGCTTCAGTTAGTGTAACAGGAGAGTAAACTGGACATATATAAACTTTGGGACATCTCATGTGTCTTTTAACCAACATAAAAGTAATGCCAGGTATCAAAACACGAGATAAAGTGCAGTCAGATATGGTCAAGGTGCAACTAGTGTTTAAGTCTTAACATCTCTGACCTGAATAGAGGAGAATGAATCAAAAGTATGTTGTGAATAATAGTTATGTATGATTATACAGAGCAACCACTTACATGAATGTTGAAACACTAATGATTGACAAACATTTCTAAAGCAAATGTTAGATTCTACTCAGATAACGGAAATAAAGGGATCAATTAATGAATTTGCTATAGTAAGAAGATGCCAGCTTGGAGGTCTAGAAAGTAATTTATTTCAAAAAAGAGCCCTTCACATATTTTGTAGCACACTTATCCTCAGCTAAGTTCAGGGAAACTTAACTTTCCTGGCCAAAAAAAAGGTGTCGATACCAAGTGCTCTGAATAGGAAGTAGGTAAGTATTGGAAGCCTAGAACCAGAATCCTTAAAACTACTGGGAAATTGAAATCTAATAGTTGATCAGGATCATATTAACATCTTAAACACTAAATAGGTTAAGTTAAAATGTAACTTATTTGAAACTGAAATTGTATAAAAATAGAATTTTCAAACTTAAAGCAGATTTTTGATTCAGAAGACCATAATTTAAAACAAGTAGGACTTTCAATATGACATGTAAGAAGAGAACAGCTTAAGTTCAGACTCACTCACAGTAGCCTATTGTTCGGATCTGGTTCAGGATCGTCTCTTTATCAAGGCTATTAAAGATATTTTTCTTTAATGGAGCATAAGTAAATAGCTTCTGTTTGAAAAAAATGTTAGCTCTTGTGTACTCACATAGTTGCTAATTAGCATAGGTCCTGTGCTGTAACTCCCTTGAAAATTTGTAGGGCTTTTAATTGGACCAATGTGCCCTTGGGGTAGGGTGCTCAGTCACTTAAGCATTAAATGCAGCTCATCTTATGTTGTCTCAAACTCAGTTATCACCATCCTCTAGCCTTTTCACCGTACCTGTGGAGGAAGTTGTTACAGCTGGTTACGAAATCAAACCTTCGTTTCAAAAAAGGGGCATGTTCCCAATGAGCCATGGCTTGTTTCAGTTTTATTCCTGTATTACTTCCCTGTATGGCAGCTGGTTCCTGGCCCAGCAGCCATTCGCTGCTGTGCTGCCATGATCACGCTCAGGTCATAGACACAATGTAAGAAAAAGAGTCTGCAGTAATCAGTGTTCCTGGGCCAAAGAATTTTGTTTCTGTGGGTTGTTTGTTGTTTTGGGTTTTTTTGTTTGTTCGTTTGTTTTTTAATAAATGACCTAGCCCTGTTGCTACTGGGCTATACAGGCAGGCTCTCTGAGGGTTTGTTTTGCCCCGCACCCCCCCCCTCCTCCCCTGCTTTCAAGGCTCCTTCGGTCCTCGGGGCGGCGAGCCTGTTGGCCGTCATGGCGCAGCGGGAGCAGGGGTCGCAGTGAGGTGAATTACCGGGGCTGGGGGTAAGCCCGGGGCCCTCCGGCCCTACCGGGTGGTGCCGGGGAGTCTGGCCGCTGGCCCCGGGCCCGGCCTCCGCCGGCGGACTGCATTTCCCGGCGGGCGGCGCTCGGCCTCGCCCGGGAGCTGCGGCGGGCGGGGCGGCCGGCGCTCGCCTCCATCTCCCGGCATGCACCGGCGGCAGCCGGCAGGGCGGGCGAGCCGCGGGCCGGGCGCAGCGCCTGCCGGGAGGTGTAGTTCTCCGCCGCCGTTGGGCGCCCGGGCCGTGCAGCGCGGGGGGGAGGCGGCGACGCTGACGTGATTTTGTCCGCGTTGGAACCGGGGCGGCCGTGGCGAGCGTGACGTGGCAGAGAACGAGCGAGAGAGGTTCCCCGGTCACAGAGCAGCCGCCGCCGCCTGCGCCTTCTAAGTCGGCGCCTCCGGGTGAGCCCCGCAGCCTGCCTCCTCGCTCGCGGAGGGATCCGTGAGCGCAGATAGGCGCCGGGCCGCGCTCCCCCTCCCTCCCCGCCCGCCTGCTCGCCTCCCGCTGCCTGCGCCGCCGCCCAGCCCCGCGCCGGAGCCGCCATGGGCCTCACCATCTCCTCGCTCTTCTCACGCCTCTTCGGCAAGAAGCAGATGCGCATCCTCATGGGTAAGGGGCGGCAGCGGCACGCCGCCCGGCCGCGGCCCCCCTCTTTCCCGAAGCCGTGCCGCCGCAGCCGTTGCGCCCAACCCGGCCACGGCCGGCGCCAGGCCCGCCCGCCCGCTCCCTCACGGAGGCGGTGGGGGAGGGGAGGCCGGTGGGAGCGGGGCCGCGGGCTCCGGGCGGGGTGGGCCGTGCCCCGGCTCGGAGTGTAGGGGACGGGACATCTCCACCGCTTTTCCTTAGGGCTTGGGGGGGCGGGGGGTGTCGTTGGAAAGTGAAGGAGCGGAGGGGAGAGAAGGAGCGGTGGAGGAAGGGGGTGGGGATCGGGCTATGCCTGCCCTTCCTTTTTCTCCGCCGTGTTCGCGTTTTCTTGCCTCTTGTCCCCCCGCCCCAATCCCGCTGTCGGGGGTCGCGGCTGCGCGGGACACGGCGAGGCAGCGCCCCGCTTTCTCCGGGGTTGGCAGCGTCAGCCCCTGCTCCTCGCCACCTGCGTTTCCGCTTGCGTTGAGCCTGAGCGAAATGTAGAACAAAGATCAAATTGCAGTCGGTGAAGCCGGTGCCGGCCGGGGAGGCGAGGGACGTCTGCGCCCCGCTTTCGCCGGTGCCGAGGTGCTCCCGGCCTGGGGCCGCCGCTCCTGCCCCAGCAGCGTGGCTGTCCGAGCCTGGGGTGACAAAGCCGGGTGTGTTTCACACCAAGACCTTAAGAAATTGCCGTATAATGGCTGATTTTTGCTAACTATGGTGTCGGTGTCACCGACTCTTGTGAAAAGACGTTTCGGTGTAGTTTCTGTGCACTTTAATTTTCCTGTATCTCATGGATGAGACCATAAAACCCTGTAGGTTGCTCTTCCAGTGCTTGCTAAGTTTTCCTGTCTGACTGTAATTACTTATTTGGAATTAGACTGTGGTTCTTTTGACACAGACTGTGTAAGAGTTGAAGCCAGTAGTTCTTGATTCTCATTTCAAGATTATGGTTCAAAAGGTCAAAGCAAGCACACACTGAGTTTGGTATTTCCTCCTACACTTCAACTCCTGCCTGCCTTCTTCCACCCACCTACCCACCCCCGCAAGCTTTATGTACAAATGGATCTTAGCTCCTAAATTTTTACCAAATTCTGTTACCAAAGTGCATGAGACTTGGTTCATGCCCATTGACTGAAGCAGATTGTCCTAAGAAATTATATGAAGTGCTCATTTCAATATAGCCAGCAATGGGACTGGGTCCTAACTGTGCAATTTCCTGGCACACTACCCGTCCTTAACACTGCCTGGGTAGGCACAGCAAATACAGTAATGCAGGGGTTTTGTAATTATGATTTTCTGTGTTCTCCATACATTTTGTGATGACAGAGTTCTTTATTGCATGCGCAGTAATTTTTATTGTATATTCTCTGTTTGAAATTAGAGACTCTCATCCATTTCAAAATAACCTGAGTAATTTTTATCTTCAAGACAACTTAGTACATCTGTTGGTTTCAAGGAAGTGATTTGACTGTCTCCCTAGCAGCCAGACTCTTCATATGATTCTAGATGAATTAAGTAAAAATCTTCAGATGATACTGACTGTAGAATGAGGTAGTGTCTGTGGTATTTGTAGTTCTGTTGCATTCTGCAAAATAATGAAAACAGGAAAGCAATGTCTTACAGATCACAACAGCTTAGAACACTTTAGTTTCTTCATTGGTAGGTAATCTGTTCAAATTTAGGTTAGATATCAGTTAGGGAGCTGTACTTCCTAGCAATTGGTTTAAATGCATTTTTTTTTCTAATATTTTGATTTTAAGGCATTATATTAAAATACAGGACTGGATCAGAGCATGAGACTGAACCATCTTTGTTATGTAGTATAAGAGGGTAAAATCTTTGCCATGTTGTGATGTAAGTGCATCGTAGGACCTAAACTCAATGTTTGGAAGCAGAATATGTTGTATTGTATATGATCTAATTCATTTATATCTGTAGCATGGAAAAACAGCTTTTGATAGCATTCTGTGTTATGTATCACCACTTTAAGGGATGTCTGAATGAATACTGGGGCTGAATTAAACTTTTCCTCGAGGTGATAATTTTCAGTTTATGGATTGAAATGAGCTGTACAAGGCTAGGCATTTCAGTTTTTGCATGTAGTATACCAGTGAAGTATATTTATGGAGTAAGGTGTTTATGGCAAAATATTTTGGGGAAAAATATCATGTGGGTGAGTTGATCATGAACAGATGATTATAATTCAGACTTCCCTTTCTTCTGTTTCTGCAGAATTCAAGATAAAGTAGAATTAATTTAGCTCTTAAGACAGACTTTTTGTTCTGGAGTTCTGCAGAATTTGAATATTTCTCATCAGGTACTATGAGCAAGAGCAAACTTCACACACTATCTTTTATATGCTCAAACTACATTTATGATAAAAGGTGCACATTTAATGGTATATTCTTACTGAAATTTTATTTAAAAATAAATTCACTTGTATTAAGTATTTTTCAGACAAATTAGGTTAACATTCTGAGGAAATGCATGTAAAAAAATTCTGCATCTTCTTTGTAGATGGAAGTAACATGAGGAAAAAGAAACAACTGTAGGATAGAATTGGATGACTTAAAGTTAGACTAGGCAACTGCGGCATTAGAGTATCAAACCTAAGTCCTAACACTACATGTACCTGTCTGTAAAACTCTCCACAAACAGTCTCTTGTGATTAAAAAAGTAATTGATTCATTGTACACCCTTCAGTATCATAATTTAGTGTTCTGTGTCTTGGTGTAGTTGTGCAAGTGTTAACTGAGATAATAGCTATTCAGGAGCTTTGAATACGAAGGTAATTACTAAATAGATTGCGGAAAAAAATTGTCACATTCTTTGGGAATTGTGTTACCATACAGCACAAAACCACTTAGCTGGTTTTTATTTGTTTTGCTTTGTTTTGCTTTTAAACCACTGTTCGTTTACATGCTGTTGTGTTTTTTTTTTATCTGTGTGTTTTCTTGAGAAAACTGTATTGAGAATCGCCCCTTCGTGTCCCCCAAAGACTTACCCAATTGAAACGAAACCTGGAAGAGGACTAGTCTGTAAAGGATAAAAAAAAAAAAAAAAAAAGGGTTTGAGGGAACTGGTATAAAGGTAAAAGAAAAATGAGGGAATACTGTAACAAAGTGAAATTCATTAATTTTCGTTTTTTAAACTGGCTTTTGATTGTAACATGGATGTCATGAATCAGTTAAATACAGTAGGAGGTTTTTGTTTTTTTTTTTTTTTTTCCTTTCACTGATTATGGGCAACACTCATTTTGGAAGCAGCAACACAAGGTATTCTGTAGTAAACTTTGGAAATCTCAATCTGACAACCAAAATCTGTTGGTCTTGATGGGGGTTCCATTTAAGAAGTCAATTCTCACTTTTTCTGCATCTGTAGTTTATATGAATTTCTGTGCTGTGCTAACTGAGGCAGCTTGGTATTCAGCCACCAGTGATTGAAGTAGAGAATTGGTAAACGAAGAATGTGGTGTGGCCACAGGGATGGTGTTCCCAGGGACAAACCAACTACAAATGTGAGGTGTAGAAACATGGTTGACAGGCTGTGCATAAAACACTCGAGGAGTAAAGGGCTTAGAACCACAGTGGTTTTAACAGCAACTGAAAGCATTGTAAATATTTTTTTCTCCAGCTAGAGGAAGAGGATGTTTGACTCAGTTTAAAGATAAATGGTTGCAAGTGCAAGTCTGTGCTTCCCATTTTTACTTTATTCTTAGTGCTTTGTGGTACAACTGCTGAATGTCATACCCTACATTGACATTTTTACACCTTGGGCTCTGGTGGAAACAGAGTGAAAATGTAGAGTTGGCAATTGATATTATTTGAGGATTTAAGACTTAGGTTTTAATCTTGATAATTAAATCAACTTAAAACTTTATGACATGGAAATCTCTCGTTGGTGTGCACTGAGTGTTCCAGTGCAAATGTAAAAGTGTTTATTCTTGGACTACGAAAAGCAATAGTTAGTTACACTTCCTAGTGGCTTAAAAGATTGAATATGATTCACTGCTCTGAAATTTCTTGTTCTAAAAAGGGTGGTAAATGGCAAATTGGAGTAAAAGGCAATGCTTTTGATCTTAATTGCTTGTTTGGACCTCATAACGTTTGCAATTTGGCTAAAAGTGGCAGTTTCTGCAAATCAGGTCATGGTCATTTGCAGAAGTTGCCTTCCTTCGGTTAAAAGCTGGTGTCTCAAACGTGGAGTCAGAAGAAGAAAACACCTATCCATACCTCAGAACCTGCCTCAGTGCAAAGTCCAACAGCTTAATTAGAATTGTGGGTAAGAGTGGATTTAAGCAAAGTCTCTGGGCTTTGCACTTACATACCTAATGTAGCTTTTTGCCAGCGCCACTGAGGTGTTGGTGGGTCCTGGTACAACAGTAGAGAACTGGGGCAGTAAGTCCTTACATTTAAAATAAATAGGTCAAAATTCTTGACTAGTTTCTAATTTCTTAACTCTGAGTCATATCTTCAAATGGTTCTCAATACGCTGTGTATATTCTTTGACATGAGATTAGCTTCTCTTTGCCGTTATCTGTATCTTTGGTATAACCCTTAAATACACTAAAACCATTTGTGTAGATAATGCCATCTTTCCTTTGGTGCTAATTTTAACAAATCTTGTCAGTGTTTGTTGTACTGATAACTATTTGGGGTTTTTTTTTGTGTAGGGGGGGTGGGAGAAGGGTTTGTGAGTATGTATAGCTTTAATTGGTGATTCACTAAATGATCTTAATTTACTGGAAAATTATCACATATATATCATGTACATGCATTATGTTTTCTTGTGAAGATCTAGGCATCCTATAAATGCTGACTTGAAGTTGAGCTATGTGAGAATAGCGTTGGGTTTCAATTATCGTGCTATTAAAAACATTGTTTTTTCAGCATAGTTGGAGTATTTGAAGGTTTCAGAGTTCATTTAAAGGGTTTTCTAAGGCTACCTGACACTTCATGGGTGTAGGAAAATGCTAACATTTACAAGTTTCATGACTTGCAAGCTCTTGTGAAACTTCTGCTGCAGCAAGTCTTTTTTTGCTCATGCTTGTGTGTGGTTCTAAAAGAGACCAACGCTTAGACATGAGCAAACTTAAAACTGTTAAGTTGTAATTTGGGCATTTTGGGAGTTTATTACCCCTCAAGGAGCTTTGGTTTTGATGGTATACTCCCCTTTCCCCCTTCCCCCCCCCCCCCTTTTTTTTTTTACAACATAAACAATTAGAACAACTTTTAACACAGTGAGAAAACCAGAGAAACTGCATTGGAACGTATAATCCTGTTCACAGTATCAGAATATAGGACAATTATAGATAGGTTTTTTAATCAGTTTGCTCTAACAGCAGTTTGTGTTTCGAGGAGGAGGCTTTCTAAGAGTTTGGTTTCATTCTGAATAAGTAGGTAATTTCAAATTCCATTTTATTGCAATGTTAAGGAAACAGTTATTAATAGTCAAGTCATCAAACCACATAAAGCTTAATATATCTCAGTCACCAAGTAGGAAGTTAACTTGGAATACAGGGATGGTAACAAACAAAGATCGCATTTGGTTTCTTGTGCAAGTATAATTTAATTAATTATTTGATGGGGGTTTTATTTTTGTTTAGGCAAGATTTTATTGACTATTTTAAGTTTCACAAATAGACATTTTATTCAAACTGTTGCTGTGGTGTTTAGCACCTACAGTTTATTTTAGATGCTAATATGCTAGGCATTGAATTCTAATGTAAAGAATTTTGAGTTGTTCTTTTGTCTTCTGAAATGCCTAACAGTAAGTAGTTGCACAGTTTTAGACAGTGTATACCTGCAATGTTGGTAATGCTTCTCAAAAAACGTCTCTGAGGCTCCAGTCTTGGTGTTTTGTGTTTTGTTTGGTTTTGGGTTTGTTTGTTTGTTTTTAAAAGGATCACATATTTACCACATAGCTTACATTGAAAAACAGCAAGCTTGAGTTTTGTTGTAGAAACAGAAGAGGAAATTTCAGTGCAGAAAGTCCTGTGTAAAGATCAGAAGTGGAGACTCGTAGTAACAGCGTTCTAGTGGATCTCAATTAACAGATGTGATACCCTGAAGAAGAGTTAAAACCCTTTGGGTATATGCAGAGAGATGACAGAAGTCTCCTAATGCATGTGTTTTTGTCAGTGCAAAAGAGATGTTTTAGCAGAGGGACAGGAAACTGGAATGGAGACTGAAGTGTGTTCCACTGATAGTGCCAACTCCTTTTGGTTCAGGTACATGTGAAACTGGCCTCAGCTGAATGTTGAGTAATTGAGACCTTCCCGAACTTGAAGTAAGCATGTGATCAGTTAGAATGTATGTGCTGCCTGTAGATTGTTGCTAGGCATTTAAAACCATCCTAACTTACACAGAAGAAACTTTCAAAGAGAATGCTAAAACTTAATTCAGTAACACAAATACGAAGGAAGATGGCTAGAAACTTGTGAGCCCGTAGGCTGTGGATGGAAGTCTATTATTGAGCTTCTTTTCTGCATTGCTTGTTCTCTCTCTCAGTGCTGGGTAAAGGAGATGGGGAGAAACATACAACAGTGTGTTAACAGTGACTTAAGAGTGTTTAAAAAGTGTTTCTTCTTGGGAAAATACCCTAATGCTTTGCATGTAAAATGTTTTATTTTTAAATTAGCAAGTTGTAGTTCATATTGTAAATTAAATCAAATTTTCTGTTCATTCTAGTTGGTTTGGATGCTGCTGGTAAGACAACTATTCTGTATAAACTGAAACTAGGAGAAATTGTCACCACAATTCCCACTATTGGTAAGATAACTAATTCTCATGTCTTCGTTCCTGTTACTCTAAATTTGTGTTGTAGAGATGGGCTTCTGAAAAATGTAGCTGTTTGCTGTTAGAGTAAGAATCAAGACAAACATGGGCTTTCTGGTACTGCCACAACATAACTGTGTCAGACCAAAGATACATCTAGACTGGAATCCTGTGTCTGACAGTGGGCAGTAGCAGATGGTCAGGAGTATAGGAAGCAATTAAGTAGCAGTACTTCCCCCAGACACCATGAGCCTCTAGCAGTTTGTGACTGAAAGCTTTGCTGAACCAGAGGTCGTGTACTTGGGTTTAAGTTATTATTTTTTTTTTTTCCCCTTTCAGTCAATTTTCTTCTTGATCTAGCAATTCAATTCTGATAATGCATGTTATAGGTATATATTTGGGAGAAGTGTAGCTTGGGAAGTAGCTATTTTGAACATGGTTAGAATTACATATGAACACTAACATTAACTGTTTCTAATTATTTAACTCTTTTATTTTTAGGTTTTAATGTGGAAACAGTAGAATATAAAAACATTTGTTTCACAGTTTGGGATGTTGGTGGTCAAGATAAAATTAGACCTCTTTGGAGGCATTATTTCCAAAACACACAGGTAAGAGTTCTGAGATGGTAGTAGTTAAAGATCTGCTTCATTAAGTCTCAGTACGTTCTGTAGAGTATATATGGAAAGTTTTCTTCTGTCCCTTCCTTTCAGAAAGGCTCCTTACTACTTCCTGCGAGTTCTGAGGGATATCCAGATTTTATTCTAGCTGAAGGTAGTTTGTTACCCTGAAGGCATCAAGTCTAGTCATGAGTGTAGTCAGGCAAAGATTAAATCCTTCAGGATCTACCAGTGTTCTGTAAGGTGCCAGAGCAGCTGGTTTGTTTGTGAGGAACTCTTTGGCTTTCCTGTATCCATGCTTCGATCTGTTTGCACTGGCGTTGGCTTACACATAAAAACCATTATTGTTTAAACACCCTTCCACACACTTTTTTAATAATCATCCTTAAAATATACAGCTTTTACTGTGCTATATCAGTGTATTTAGTACGCTGATTATCTGAAAATATTGTAAAAGAACTTGTTATCGATTGATTGGAAAACTGTCAGCCTCATATTAATGTGACTGCTGTCATTTTTGGTGACACAAACGTGATTCTTTCCTTTTGGTTCACAAGTAGTAAGCTAAGTTGCTTATTAGTATCAGGAAACTTTGGCAGTGGTGGTTCATTGGTTTGTTTGGTTTTTTTTTTTTTTTGCTGTGTTGAATATAGAATTGTTTCCAAGAAACTTCTGTGCACTGTCATGTATGTGATTGGTGCAAAAAAATGGAGAAGTCTGGATTGACAAAGCGGAGCTAGCAGAGTACTGTTGTGAATAGGATAATACTTAATTTCAGTTCCTTATTCAACCCTGATACTAAATATTTTTAAAAGACACTTCTATTTTCTTAAAGAGAATGACAAAATTAAGTTTTTTTAGACTGAAATTTTAAGACTAAATACTGTGTACGGAGGACACTTGAATAACAGAGATGCCATTAGAAATACTGTTTAGTACAAACTTTTTTAAACAAAAACAGGCCTTACTTTAAGGTTGTGGGTTTTTTCAGTGAAACAGGAGGTAGTGAGGCACTTGCGATTTTCTTCCTTCAATTAATGTAATAACAGTGGGTGAAAACGGAGTGGGGAGAGACTTTGCTGGTGTTTTTCTCCCACAACTAATGAATCCCAAACTAATCTGCAAACCAGCTTTTAACTATTTTAATTTAAAAGGCCTAGCTTTATTTTGCAGTTGAAACTTATTACGTAGTTTTTCAGACATACATATTGTGTTGTTTAAACAGAAATTTCTGTCAAATTTACTTACCTAAGAGAGAGGACGATAACAGTTTTCAGTATGAGGTTTTTTGGATTTTAAAATAGTACTACATGTTTACATTGGTTTTTCAAAACTGCTTGTTTTCCTGCAGGGCCTCATTTTTGTGGTAGACAGCAATGACAGAGAGAGAATCCAGGAAGCAGCAGAAGAGCTGCAGAAAATGGTAAATATCAATACTTCTGAAATATAAATGTCATACTTTGTCATAATTCTGTATATTTGTCAGCTTCCCTAAGACATTTAGGATTTTCAAATTTTAGGGAGTTTGTACAGTGTGTGTTTTACTCATCTGGTAATTCTGGGTCACATAGTGCATTGAATTGTAACTACAACTCTATACAGAGCTTTAGCTTGAGAACTACTAATGTATCTGAGCCTTTCTTTCCTTCATAAAACTTTCATAGAAATGTAGCAGATAATTTTGGAAAAACAAATTGGTGCTAAGAATTTCAGCAGCAAAGTGCCAGTAAATTTAAACTGCCTATTGAAGACTATTTCCTTACTAGTAGGAGCAGGTCTGTTGGTTACTAGTTAAATTTCACTCGGTGCTTATTAGTGACTTCAGGATCAAGAATTAAATGCTTACAACCCTTAAATCAGAATTTAGGGGTTTTTTAGTGCTTGTTGAAGTAATTGAAGTACTTAAGTGAGCTCATTTAATAACATGACCATTTTTTTCTGTTAGCTTCAGGAGGATGAGCTGCGAGATGCAGTGCTGCTTCTGTTTGCAAACAAACAAGATCTGCCAAATGCCATGGCAATCAGTGAAATGACAGATAAACTAGGTCTTCAGTCTCTGCGTAACAGAACTGTAAGTGCTAAACTTCCTGGTTGCTGAACTCTTGCCTTCCTTTATTATGTATCATAAATGTAGGTTTTACTTTAAAGGAAGGGGAAGCTTTCACCTTTTTCTGTAGAAAGATGCATATACCTGCTATTAAACTCTGTAGCGCATAGTTTAAGGTCCTTGTTCAAAATAAGTGATTTAGAAGTATTATCCAGTGTGGTCAGGTGTTGCAGGTGTTTCATCTCTCACCTTTCCTAGAAAAATACAAATATTCCAGTCTGCCACTGAAACATAACTGTCAAATGTATTTGACAAAGTATGTGGTGGGCTTTTCTGTTTTCTCAGTATTTGTATTCTGCATTCCCACCACTGCAAAGATGGGAGGAAATACCCTAAATCGTTAGATTACATCTGCACAAGCCTTTGAGACATAGGGTTGCTTCACATAAACAATCCAGCCTTCTGTAAAAATCGCTTAATGTCTGTATGTTGACACACTAAGATGTATCCATAGAAGATGTTATAGAGGTCTGTTAATTTAGATAATTCCATGTCTATTTCTTGAAGAGCAGTCTTTCAAAAACAAGCTCGTTTTCAGCATACAAATACAGAACTTGGGTTTGGTTTATTTCTTGATTCCCTAACCAGTGTTCTACCATTTCGTGGCCAACAATGAGTTTCTGGATAATGTCTGAACCTTCATATACTACTTTATATAGACTTTAAAAAATACTGTCTGTTTAGTATTGACTCTACTTATGGCACAAAGCAGTGTTCAAAGAACACTGATAACTTCGTTAGCACTTTGTCAGTATTTAAAATTAATTTTTGTTTGTTTTCTACATTAACAGTGGTATGTCCAGGCTACCTGTGCTACACAAGGAACTGGTCTGTATGAGGGACTTGACTGGCTGTCAAATGAACTCTCAAAACGCTAACTCAAACTGGATGACTCTTTCACCAGGGACATGTTTGATATAAGTGGTCTAGGCTTGTTACAACAAAATTAGTTTGCATCTTGGTTATTACAGTATCTGGAACTGATATTTGGGCAGGATATTACAGCGTTTCAACTTATTTTGTTGCCAATTATTGTTTACCGAGCTACATGTTGCAAAGGTAGCAATATGCTTGGGTAAAAATCTCCTTAACTTGGAAAAAGTGTATCTTCTGATTTTATTCCCCTTGTTAGCCTAAATGCCTGAATATAGTTATTGTGACATCTTAAAGATCTGTTTTGAATACTCTTTTGAGCCCCAATAAATTAATGTTTTAATTTTTTTTTCTCCCTGCTACTTTTAGTTTACTGATGCCCTGTTTCATTCCTCAGACAGTCTGCTGATTTAAAAATGTAGCATTCCGTATGTATTTATTTCTCTCCCTTGCCAAAAAGAACTCCTAATACTGCTTGTTCCAGCCAAGGAAATGCTCTAAAACACTATACAAATCTACTGCACTGAGGAACATTTTATTAATCCTTGGGTTCTGTCAGCCCAACTTGCCTTTGTGTGAATTGGATTTGATGGGTAGAATAGTTCTGTGCTGGTTGCGAAGAGCTCATGTTGAGGTTGTTTTTAATATTCAGCAGATTGTCTTCCTTTATATTGTATCTTTTTTTTATGTTGCATGTTGCTTTTTGGTATCAGCCTGACTATTTTTGCCCAGTGTATAATAGTTCCGCTGAAGTTTTACTGTTTGTTGGTGAACATATCTTCATAAAGAAATTTTGGAAAATTCATCAAACTCAATGGATTAGTTTCTTCATAACCCACTTGGAATTATTCCTAATAAAATGATAAAATGTATGGTTCTGTGTATGCTCTTCTTGATTCCTGAAATAGTTTAACTGCAAGTTATCACTTAATCTTTTTCCATATACTGAGCTTTCCTGCAGCTTGAATGTGAACGTCAGTCTTAGATTTTCACTTATTTGGAGCTGTGTAGAGCGGGACATGGAAGGTGGGCAACAAAGTTGTATACAGTGTAGTAGAGTAGCTGTTATCAAGGCTTAGATAATTCTGTAAGGTCTTTTGAAGTTGTAAATCTAAAATTCCTTTTTAAGATGTCCAAATATGAAAATACTAACAGTTATTAAAATTGCAATAAAACAAATAGAAGCTGCCTGAAAATTATGCATGGCTGTTTTGTAGTTGTATCTACAGTTAAAAACCCACATGGGTTCCAGCAGGATAATCAGAAATTCTGTTGGTGGCTAGCTGGGAAGCTAAGTTGAACACTTGTAAGAGGGATATAGTCAGTATTATATTAATGGTGATAGTCATTCCAAAAAATCAGCTCTATACAACTGCTGCTGTCTGCTCTCATATTTCTGCCACCTTGTACCTCTGTAGTTCAAAAGACTTAAATTAACTTGATTTTTGAGGCTGCTACTAATGGGTATTTTAAAATCTATTTTTTTATTGCCCATCTGCTGTATGGATGGAAGTATGGTTCAATCCTCTAACTGAAGTATTCTATTGGTTGTATGTCTTCAGGAACCCAAAGCATGATTTCATTGCAGTTGCAGGATAAGCTCCTCTCTTACTTTTAGCCCAGGTCTTGTTATCCTTGATACAAGAAATCCCAGTGACAAGGTCTGGTAAAAAGCTAGTTGACATGAAGAGCACCTTCCAGGGCACTTCGGCTGTAACAGAGGTTTAAGTTTCTAGGAAGTGCTGTTACTGTGAAAACAACCAACCAGAGAAAATTCCAAAGCTTTTGATTATGGTCATTAACTGTCTTCAATATGTAACAGAAACCCAGGAGACAGCGTAAGGTGAGTAGGGTTTTGCCTGCACCTTTAATGAGTTGCTGATTACTTATTAACTGAAGTTGATATATTCATGCATTGGATCAGAAGCTGCTAATATGCATATTTCTAGCAATGCAGTTCCTTGAAATAAAGCTTAAAAGGAACATCTTGTTCAGAAGAGGTGGCTTGTCCGTGATATGGGTTGTGCTTGTAAGTGAGACAATGCTTGTGACAAATGAAATGTCATCTCCTCTTCCAAGGAGGAAGCTAGAGGTAGACTCTAAATAAAAAAGTAGATACTTAGAAACAAATTAGGCCTGCTATCTTGAAATAAACACTCGGTCTGGTAGAGATGAAAATTTCATTGTTTTAATTATTTCACATGCTTTTAAGTAATTAAATACCGGTTTAGGTGAGCTCTGTGTAGCCACTGTTTTTCAGTTACAGTATGTGTATAGAAGTTCGTATTTTAAAGAGTCACCGTGCTTGGCTTTGTATACCAGTAGGCTGTAATTCTACTATAAAAGGAGTAATTTCCAAAAGTCAAAGTCAGAAAGTAGTAAAGATCTTGAGCCTCATTTAAGAGTGATGGAATCTGCATGAGGGGTTAAGGCTACAGCTTCCACTGAAGTGTAAAGCCAAGTCTGTAAAATTCTTGGGTTTAATTGAGTAGTCACTGTAGTGTTAATCAGAATAGAGAGTAACTGAAGCAAGTACTTCAGTCTTCCTGTAAATAGATAAGATCACACTTGACCTCTGTTACTAAAATGATATTGGTACTCTGTAAGGTTGTAATCTTGAAAGCAAGGTCTCGGTTACGGGGTTTATTCATAGTAATGTTAAGCTGGGGAAGCTGTTAAGCTGACTCATTTAAGACATTGTGGATAGGTAAATTTTTTTTTTCTTTTTGACACTTTAAAATTGTTACTTGCTGGCTAAAGAAATTATAACAGTGACCTGTATATGTTGTATATTGATAACAATGTATATTACAGCCCTGCTTTCCAGAGGCAGATGAAATTCCCATGTAGATGCAATACTAACTTTGTTACTTCCCTATCAGAAGTCAAACACCTGAACTGAGCTGTTGTTCGAGAAGTTAAAAATCTTGGACTGCTAAGAATTTGTTCTGTAATGACAGGAAATCCTGAGTTCCAGTAGGTGAAATTTTTCATTGTGCAGCATCAATTCCTGTATTCAGTACATACGTTCTTTTGCACTGGGGAGTCAGTCTAGTAATATTTGTATACCAGAGGTTTTATTTTACTTTATCAGATGGCCAGCTTAAATATAGAGATCAAAACACTGAAGAGTGAGTGGTTTTTCTTTTATTTGGCCATGCTGACACAATTTATTCCTTGTATTTTCAGTAGATGCATTGTTTGGCTTTTCATTTTTTTTCTAACATTCAGAGAATAGTCTTGCGTGAATATTGAGATCTACATACAAGCCAGTACAAAAAGCTTGTGGTTTTTTTTTTTTTTTCTCACATATAACTTAACTGGATCACTCAATCCTACAACATAAACAGCAGCGGATATTTGTTGTTGGGCATTTTTCTGTTGTGTTGGGTTTTTTTTAAGGGCTTCATGAACAACATTATCTGCAAAACAGCTTCAGAACAAGTTCTAGAGACCTGCAGGCTTTGGTTTGACTGCAAGCAGAACAAGAATCAGTTCTAAGTGCATCAGGACTAATGAATGCTATAAACATTTCTGCTTGCTTGGTTTGTTCTCACTGTTTCAACGTACACCAGTAAAACAATGTTCTGGAGGCCACAGAACACTATGAGGGTGCTTAGAGCCCTGGCCTAGCTTGTGTAAAAAGTGGTTTAGGGTGTTGCCAGTAATGCGAATTTGGAGGCCAGTTTGCAGTCCCTTGCTCTTCTGAGTAATAAAGGTCTGGGCAAAGACCATTTGAGTGCAGTGTGATGGAACTTTGCACATCACCTTGTCCCAGTATGTCTTTCCTGCCCTTACCAAGAACGGTATTGACAGGGGCCTTGAGTAAGAAATTACATTCGATATGCTGCTGTTGGACCTATGAAGAAAGCTTAGCTACTGAATGTATTGTGCATTGTGCAGAAAAATTCTACAAAAATGGTGAAATGTTTTGTGCTCTTAACTTGGTGGGAGTTGAAAGTCTTGGAACAATTGTTTTGATGCTAGGAATGTGAGAAATGAGGCAATTTGAGGTATTGAAAGATCTGACTTCTTAGCATGTTGGGTATTTTTTCTGCTGCTTCTAACTTTTTTCTCCGTCTTTTTTCTTCCTCCTTCTATCAATCATACTTTGCATTATTGTTTGTTTTACCATGTCATGGTAGAGAAAGGCGTTTTACTAAAGGCTTCAATTAGTCCCTTCAAAAATAGCAGTGATACCAGAAATACCGATGTGTAAAAACTCAAGTACTGTTACAAGTGGAAAACCCCTTTGTCTAGAATGGAAAAGGTCAGGAAAAAAACCTCTTGAGTTCCAAGTTGCCAGACCAGTCTGAAGGACTTGGCAGAACTTGGTTGGTTTTTGTACATATCAAATAGACAGGTAAACTACATTGCACAATAACCAGAACAACCCAGAAACTAGCTAAGTATCTATTACTTCCAGAAGCCCAGTCTTTCAGTGCCTTTAGTTCTAGTAACGTTGGTGTGAGTGACAAGTTTGTCCATAGCAGGAGCCAGCGTGAAAGAAACGCCTCCCTCCTGAGACAGCAGCTAGTCAGAGCTGGAGCAGTGCTGTCTCTGGAGTTTACTGCATCAGGGGTGGGAAAGTCAATCACAGAGCAAAGAGAGATGTTCCTTTTTTTTTTTTTTTTTTTTAATGGCTGGCATGGGAAAGTAGAGTAACAAAAAGCAAACCAAAACCCGAACCAACCCACACGTTTGAAAAGATGCAAAAAGAATCTTGCCCAGTTTTTTGATGTGAAGGATATGAAGCATTCCAGTTGCTGAAGGAGGAACACAGGTGAGTCTAGGTTTATGAAATAAAATGGAGATGAGCTTAATGGGGCTTCTACAAATCTGTGTTCTAGAGGTGATTTAGAGAGGAAGATTTAACTGCTGGGCAAGATCCAGATGTGTAGGAGGAGCTAAAATGGGAGCTAAAATCACCTTATGTGGAGTAGGAAGCACCATGCGTTACCTCACATAGATGTAAATGTAGTTTGGAAGCATGGGGGTGGGGAGGGCAAAGGTTTATTTAAGTGTTGCTTTTCACCCCCAAAAAATCTCAAGTCTTTTGAATTGTGACTTTTTCCTAACCGAGACCCTACTGCTGCTTTCACACTCCAGAAATGTCAAACTGGTTCCTGAGCCATTGCTGCTACTGGCAGTCAGCCCACGCTGCTGCATTTTACTAATTAAAACAATTAATACTTGGACTGGAGAATCTCCAGCACTACCTTGTGGGGCTGAATTTCCTTCTAAAGGTGCTAAAAGATTATCTGCCATGTGCAAGGGCCATCTAATTTTACCGGCTCTGTTTCAGTGCCGTGTTTCTCCCTTACCGCTTGCTTCCTGCAGATGCCAGTTTTCCAGTCCTCCCTCCGTCTGCAAGGAGATAGAAGCAGCAACCCAAGTACCAGTACAGGGAATGAGAAGGACCTGCTGCTTCCTGGAAGGGAGGCAGAATACCAGGCAAGTCTGTTCTCTGAGCAGCTCCTATCTTCTGGTGCTAAGGAGAAGTTAAAAGATTTTTTTATGTTTTGGTTTTGGAAAATTAGATGAAATAACCTCGTTGTGATGGATAGGTATTAGAAAGGAGAAAAATAATGTTTTTTAGAGTTAGAAGGGGAGCTCAGCCTATGTAAGTAATATAATTTCATTTCCAAACTTGGCAATTGCAATCCTATTTGGAGGCTGAGACATATCTCTTGCCAGTCTCCAGGCTTGCATTACTCAGTGGAGTTTGGTTTTGGGGTTTTTTTCCCCCCTCAGATTTTTCACAGCTGGCAAACTGTAGAAGGCCTCTGACTCAGCTGTACTGTAGTCATTTTCAGTGTTTTTCCAAGATGCTAATATTTAGATTTTCTTCCTTAACAGATCTTGCAATTAATTTTTCTGCCCTTTAAGATGCCATATGCTTGCAAGCGTTAAAACTTCAGGTGTAAGCTTCCCTTCATTTACTAAATTAGTAAATATTCTTTGCCCACGTTGTGAGGTTTATAGCCTCCATTGTTTGTAAGATTTTCTCCTCACTCCTGTATTTTGAAGTTTAGTTATGAATTACTGGTACTTTTATGCAAGATTGAATTACACTTTACTTTTTAATTAGACTTTAGACTTTAATTAGACTTACAAGAGAACTAACTGATCGAGGACCCACCTACAGTATTTAGGGTCCAATTTTACAGGGCGAGTACAGTCCATCACTCTGTTG